GCCTCATCGGAGTTTGAATCTGATTCGGCCATGGAAGAAGGACGGAAGTGTTACCGTAGGTCTGGATTAAGACCTAGCTCTTGATACCATGTTAAACTGAGATTCCACTTTCATATATTTCAATCGTTACTTATACAGGAAACTAGGTACTATATATATACATAGAAAACCCTATTTCTAATTATAACTAAATCAGGATAATTATAACCAAATAAGGGTAATTATCAATTAATAACTATATTCCTATTCTAGTTCATACATTCTTGTTGACAGCTAACGCCAACACATTTTTGTTTTGACCTTCATCATTCTTCTTTTCAAGAGGGTCATCTTCCTCCTCCCCCTCCTCAGATTTTACCGATTCAGGTTGATCAATTCCTTCTTCGGTATCCTTGAGTATGTTTTGCATATATGCACCTGTATCATGAAAACAAATACCTTTCCTGACATTTTTCGGGTAAGAATCATCAAAGGAAACATGAACCGACTCTTCAAGAATAAGCAATCTCTTGTTAAACACTTTATATGCTTTACTAGTTTAAAAGTATCCAAGAAAGATACCTTCATCGACTTTCGCGTCAAATTTCCCAAAGTTTTCCTTACCATTATTTAGAATAAAACACTTGCAACAAAAACAAGAAGATGTGATAAATTGGGTTTTCTACCCTTTAAAAGTTCATATAGAGTTTTGTCTATAATATGACGAATGAGTATCCTATTTAAGACATAACATGTCATTGCCAACCGCATCTTCCCAAAAGTATTTAGGTAGAGAACTCTCATTGAGCATTGTTCTTGCCAACTTTCCCAAAACACCATTTTGTTATGGAGTTCTAGGAGCTGAAAAGTTATGTTCAATGTCATCTTTATCACAATATTCATTAAAGTGGTGGTTTTCAAATTCACCTCCACGATCGCTTCTAATTTCAACTAATTTCAAATTTAGTTTGTTTTGGGATAACCTAGCAAAACGTGTGAAAGCTACAAAGGTTTCATCTTTGCTTGTTAAGAAAATAATCTAACAAAGTCTCGAGGTATCGTAAAATATGAAAAAACAATAATAATTTCCACTTCAGCTCTTGGTCCGTAAAGGTCCAAAGATATCCAAATGGAGAAGCTCAAGAGGTCTCGAGGATTTAAAAGAAACCCTTGCTTACTTACCCATTTGGCATGCATCACATAGGTGATATTTTAAAAACTTTATTTTTGGAAGATCGATTACAAGATCCTTAGAGACTACTTTATTTATCAAGTCAAAGTTAACATGAGTTAAGCGACTATGCCATAACCATGAATTTTCATTCACAGTGACAAGACATTTAACATCCTTCATGGATACATCATGCAAGTTAAGCATATAAATATTGTTTACCCTCACGCCATTAAACATATAATTCTTCTTTTCATTATGTTCGTTCATGCAACGGTTTTTGGAAAAAGAAACTTTGTAACCATTGTCGCACAATTGACTAATACTGAGTAGACTATGTTTACGGTCTTCAACTAACATAAGAATTGATATGAATATGCATACAAGTCTTCCAATAACCATAGTTTTCACCGGTGAATACATGGGCTCTATTATATTCCCCTTTAGGTGCGTTTTCCATTTTCTAAAAAGTGTATTGAAAGCACACAGAATGGACCGGGCTCTTGATGTCATTTGTTAGATGATAACAAGTTATCTAGAGGGGATTAATAGATACCTAATTCAAAATTGAGTTTTAAAACAGTTTTTAAATCACGTTAAAAATAATAGTTTGCGGAAGTCGTGTCCTTGGACCGAAGTCGTCTAAATGCAGACGATTATTGGAACTCAGATATGTGTTCAATCAATTTACGTTAAGTAACGATGATAAGTGAGCAACACAAAAAATTCTCAATCAACAATTTGAATCCAATCAATTAAGCAGCCTATTTTCAATGAAATTAATGGTAAAAACTTAGACAATTTATCGAACATCTAGTGTACACTTTAATTTTCTAGAAATTCCTTTGAATTTTGTTGATGTTAAAACCTCTTACAATCAAAGTGATTATAAGAACAACAACAAATTGATTTAAACTTTCAAAGAAAGTTTTTATTCTAATCAATTTGCACAATTAAGAGTGTAATAAATTGCTAACAAAATGTAAAAGAAATAAAGCGAGATAAAGAGAGAGAGAACGACACAAGGATTTGTTAAGGAAGTTACCAACCGTCGTTGCAATGACTACGTCTCCCCCCAATTCCGTTGTAGAATTGAGACCAATTTTTTACTAATTGTAAAAGTATGTTTACAAGAGAAATGTTGCAATGCATCCCTACAACACCAATGATTGATGATGACCCTACAAAATTCCCTTTGGCTTGATGAAGTTAGATCAAGCCCCCAACAACTCCAATCAATCCACCGTCTCGCGCTACTATCTTGAAGGAAAACCCGTCTTTAATGTTCACTCGGTCGAATTCAATTGAAAGCCTGTTGTCACCCAAAAGAAAGACCTAGAAACACAAAATAAAAATTGATTTTTGAATTTTGGTACAAGATGTATCGACACGAACAAGTGACGTGTCAACACATACATGACAAAATAAGGCACATGTGTCGACCTGCAACAGGTTATGAGTCGACACAAACTTCCATATATTTTCAAGCTTAAAAACAACAACACATAAGTCGATACGAGACACGAATGTGTTGACACATATAGCAATTTTGAAGACATGTGTCGACACAAACAAGAGGATGAGCCGATACAAATTTTTAGAGAATTATTTGCTTAAAACAACAACACATATGTCGACACAAAACACGAATGTGTTGACACATATACATGAATTTTGTGCAAAAATTTATTTTTCTTTTATGAGACTAATGAACAACTAAACCAAACTTGTTTTATATGCTTATTAAGGTTCCTAATGATTTCTAACGCAAGGGTGCACACAAATAATCAGAGATACCATTCAACGTACAAAAAAACTAAATCAATTCCTAGTTTTGACATCATGCAAAACATTTAAAAGAGAAATACATTCACAATTACGAGTTCTTCTAATGTCTTTTGGAGTAACCAATGCTCCAGCCGTTTTCATGGACTACATAAACCAAGTGTTCCAACCGTACTTGAATCAATTTGTTGTGATCTTCATGTATGATATCTTAATTTACTCTCGTACCCCACTCTATCTAAACCAAAAAAATTTAAACATAAATAAATTTCAATTGGATAAAACTTAAAATTTTAAATTTTTAAAATTTTTTTAATTATCTCACTCAAACACAAACTTATTATTATTATTATTATTATTATTATGTTGATTAAATGTTTTTTAATTATTAACTAGTAAAGGACCCGTGCGTTTGCACGGGTCGCGTAAAGTCGATACAAATATTTAATAAAGATTATATAGTTATGATTAATAAATGTATATAAAAATATATACGAATTAAGAGAAAACAACTTTAAATGATGATTATCACATAAATTTTAATTTAATTTATTAAGTTGTATTAGTTGTGAAGATATACATAAAAATTATGTTGAAAAATATGAGTATATGGTCTACTACACTTCACACACATATATAAAATTGATTGTCTTTCCGTGTGTTTCTATGTTTGTGCAATATCGTTATAAGTAACAAATAAATATAATATAATGATAGTTAAGAAATATATATAAAGAATATACAAATTAAATAGTGTTGACCCGTCAGAAATGTATATTTTAGTAGTTTAAGATATTTAAGATATTATCTAATAGAATAATAATATGAGAATAAAAAACAGAAAAAACAAAATTTAAATAAAAACAAAGAATGAGCCTAAAGGATGTTGTAAGGCCCATCAGAAACCCTAATTATTAAACAAGGATAAAGGGTAAAGAGAAAAAAAATATTAAATCAATTACTGAAGGATCAATTAAAAGTAAAATATGTAAAATAAACTACACGATACTTCCCTCTGCCTGCTACGCTTCCATTTTTTTCATCTATTTATTCACCGTCGATTCCTTCTCATCTTTATTTCTCTTTTCATCTTTCTCTCCTTGTTCTTAAACTCGCCCTCCCAGTCTCTGTTCTTTCCAAATCTCATGAAAACAAACAATAACAATTCTGCTTTCATTCTCACGGTTCAATGTTGCTACTCCATTCCTTATCATGTTTTCACAGTTCCGATTTTGTTTGCATAACCTAAAAACTCGGATCCAAACTCTTTATCTCTCGTAAGTCGCTCATTACGGTTCTGTTTCAATAATCATCTCTCTGTTTCGACTCAGTCCGATTATAAAGTTTTTACGGATTTAATTTCAGTTTTCATAAGAAAAACAACAATTAACCAACACGACCACACCTGAATTCGTAGCTTGAACAAAACAAAGTCTAAAATATACTTCTATTGTTGTGTCTAGAATCAAAAGTGTTTATAAAAGCTCTCTAATAACACAAATTAATTTACTTAATGATTTGTTTTTAATCTTCTTCAATATATAATATAAGAAACATATATGTCGTGAAAAAGATATTTATACCCATCAATGCTAGTCCGCCACATATCAAATTGGGTTACTATTAATCATTATTATCTTTATTTTTATTTATTTTATTAATCATTTGCAAATTGTTTATGTTATTATTGAAATTAAGCTTCTCATTAAAATTTTCAAAAACCATCAAAATAATTTTGATACTATATTACTTTATTATATTTTTCCTACGCCCTATTAAACCATCATTACCGACTTGCAAGAAAACTATATAAAACAGAGCTTAAACCCTAAACCCTCCACGGCTGAACACCACACCTCACTTGACTTCACAGCTTTTTCCGACGGAGCCTTTGAACACCCTCAAACACTCCAATTCTCCAGCTTCAATCATCCTCTACGCGAACTCAAACACCGAATTTCATCTAACAGAAGAAATTTATCTTTGTTTAATTTTCGTTTTTGTTTTTATATATACACTAATCTGTTATCTGCTCAATCTTGTTGAAAAGTGTTTTTAGCTTCAAATGTCAATTGACGGAAGTTTCAGCGTTCATTCTTCGCTTCGGAGATTGCTTGATCGTTGTCCGAAGCTTCAATCAGTTCCTCAGATTGATTCGTTAGCACAGAAGGCATAGCCTCAATCTTCAATCCTGTTTTTATTTTATTTTTTATTTTTTATATATCCAATTCACTTTGTCATTTTTTCCCTTCTTTTGTATATGTAAATAAGTTCAATTGCCTAATTAATGTAATTATTTGTAAAATGAAAATTTGAATCCATGTAATTCAACCTATGAATCACAACGATGACAGTGACACATTGATATGAGTAATAATTTAAAAAAAATGAATAAATTGAAGTAATCACAAGTGTCGTGTCGATACATACACACTTTTTTTTTCTAGAGGTCTCATATTTTTTTTGATACCTTAATCCAAACCCTGTATTAGAATAGCAGAGATGAGGATGTTGTGGTGGGTGTGTGGTAAGATTCAGCAGAGGATAAAATTAGAAATGAAAATATTAGTCTTGACTAGCACCTATAGTACAAGATGTTGAAAAATAGACTTAGGTAGTTTGAGCATGTAGAGAGAAGACCCGTAGATTTTGTATTAAAGAAGGTAGATCAGATGAAGTAAAGACAAACAATTAGAGGAAGGGGAAAACTTAGAAAAATTATCTGAGAAGTTATTAAGAAATATCTCGAGATTAATGATTTAGATAAAAACATAGTCCTTGATAGAACATTATGGCGAAAGTTGATCCATGTAGCCGACTCTACTTAATGGGATAAGGCTTAGTTGTTGTTTTTGTATTAGTATGGAACTTTTTTACTTGAATTTTGTATTTATTTGTTTGTTCGTTGTTGTGTGCAGGGGAGCTTGGTAACAGAAGATGAAGTGGTTAATGAGTTAGTGGGGATTTTTCTGCATCCTAGTTATACAATTCCATTGGCGGGATGTTTCCGGCCAATTGTTCGAAACTTTGTAGATAAAGCTGTTGCTTTACTTCGTCTTGTACCGAATTTGAAGTCTAATACTGTGGATGATGCTATGGAAATTGACTCCGACATTGTCTTGGATGATGTTGCCAATGTTGTAGAGTACTGTGTTGAACGGGGAAGGGGTCTTGATCTTCATGAGCATGCTTGTTTTGCCTTCTGCTGTGCTCTTGAAATGGGCCTTGTACCGCTGAGGTTGGTATATTTCTTTTAAAATATTGGTATTAAGAGCCATCTATATGGTAGTACCTTTTATGCTCTTTTTGATTTAGTGGAAAAAGTGTTAGTAGTGTTAATTGTTGTCATAGTAAATTAGGATTTTAAAATAGCCAGTTGTAATAATTAAATACTTTTATTTGAAGTTTTAATAGTTACTTTTTTTGTTTCCTAAATGCATATGCAGTGTTCCTATATTGCAATTACATGGAAAGTTTATATTTAAAATACAAAAATATAGATTTCTGCATACTCCTGCATGTGGGGAACTGGAGAGAGATTTATTGCATGATTATTATTGTTTTCCATATCCATTTCTATATCTCTTTTCTGTACCTTCTTCTAGGAAGTTATAATATGTTTTTTTTGGCGATAATTCGTTAATAATTTAATGATGTTAAGAACAACAATGCTACATTGTCGAATGAGTGCGGGTGTGCAGTGCAGTGTGTACATGAGCGTATGGATAGTATTTATGTTTATTTGTAATAATTCTCCCATTTTAGTATTTTGAAGAAAACTACTTATAAAAAGGAAAGTGATGATTATTTTCAACAATTGAACCGTTGCAATAGTTTTCCTCTTATATTTGGAAATTTGTATTATAATTTGCTGGCTCTTTTTGAAAGCCATATACTTGTATTAATTCTAATTTTTGAAGCTATACTGCATACCCTTTTCATAATGGATAATATTTGTTGCTTATTGAAAATTTAAAAAATACGACTATAGTATTTATAGTTATCTGAATATACCATTTCTTAATTAATTTGTTATTTGTTAATAAGTTACGAAATTGTGATTCAATTTGCTCTTTTGTGCAGTTCTGTATTAAGCTATTTCAATTATGCACCTGCTCCGTTTGAAAGATTTTCAGGGGAGCAAGTTTTGGTCAGTACATCTGTGATGTTTTTTATTTTTTTTGTTGAGAAAGAGGGTTGAGATATGCTTCTGTGTATTACGTAGTAATATTCTCTTTTTTTCAGGTTGAGCCCCATGGATTGCATGTTGCCCGCTTATCGTACCGCATCCTTCTTTTGAAACCTGAAAAATTCTCAAAGCTTTGGGACTGGTCTTGTTTTCTAGAACCCTTAAAAAAGCCTTGCGAATCAGACCTGATATGGTGCAGGTTTCATATATTAAAAGTTGTGTTCAAATTAGCTTCAAGAGCCATTGAAAGCTCGAATATTGAAGCTCAGGAAGCATCTGCCTGTTTATTGCGGTCAGTATTGTATAATTCTTTTTGCTTTGATGTTGTACTCTTAATGCAATGCATGTCCAATGATAATCTTCAACTTGCCTTATTCAGCTGGGAAGAGTTTTGTGGGGACACAACACTAGAGAGAGCTGGTTGGTTGGTTGAACCAACAGCAGACTACATGTCTGATTCTCCTAATAGAAACATGGATTTCAATCAAGAGAACTGTTTAAATTCTTTAAGATGTAATTATCATCCTGTTGGTTTACCAAAGGTACACGAGGTGCAACCACCTTTTAGGACCAAGCGGGCTGTCACAAGGTACACCTTATTTTACTCTATATTTTGGTCTATGTAACTTAAACACCATGCAGCTGCTTCCAATTATACTGTTTGAACTTCGTTAAATGCCCCTTTTTATGATTTTACTTATTTTTTGTTGTAGTTTTTCTTTGGACTGATTTATTACTTTATTTTCATTTTAGTTACCACTTAATTTTTGATATCCTGTATATAATTTTAGGGATGATATATCAGAAAGTTATACATTCATATTGACATCAGCTGTAAAGAAAAGTTATGAAAGAGTTCTACTAGCTACAAGTCAGAAGTGGCCGGTTCTTTTATACGGTCCCTCTGGTTCTGGAAAATCTGCTCTTATAGCTAAGCTGGCTGAGGATAGTCGTACCCAAGGTACATTATAATATTTACCTTTTAACGTTAGTGTTTCTATTGTTTGCTCATGGCTTTAATTTGACTGAGCATGTTTAGTTGGAAGATCATATCTCTTAGATTTTCTTTTCCTTTTGTTTCCTCAATTTTTGAAGGCTAGCTAGTCATGATATCTTTTACGAAAATGATAATAATGTCTGTCTATACCATGCTATGGTGGAATTGGTTCAAACCCGCTTGTTTTTTAAATTCTCAGTCAAATAAAATTCCATTAGGACTCAAATACAGTTAACAGAAGAAAAAAATTAGGATGTAAGCAGATGCGCTATTCTCTAAGCCACCTTAAGTATTTTTTTTGGAAACTATTGTTCATTATGTGAATTCATGGTGCAATAAAAAGGTTTGGAATGCTCATGGTCTTTCTTACGGGGTTTCTCTAACAGATATGCTGAGGGCGTGAGGAGTTGGAAATCTTTCACCGCTTTCTCCTTTTTAATGCTTGTTTTCATCTTTAATGTTTTGTTCTTTTTTATGAGGATTTCTTATCCTCTTTAGTCCTCATAATTCTTTCTCTTCAACTCAATAAGTTTCTTCTCCTATCAGTTTATGTTAATAATTGTTTATGCTCTTATTTTCTTATGCAGTTCTGTCTATCCAGATGGATGATCAGATTGATGGTAGAACGTTGGTTGGGGGATATGTCTGTACGGATAGGCCTGGAGAGTTTAGGTGGCAGCCTGGGTCACTTACTCAGGTTTGGATATGACTATTGCATTCATATCTAACTCATGCAGATATTTTGATATCTGTCCCAAGACAACTTAACAAGAATTTCATCTCTGTGTACCGTCTTTGTTATTGCAGGCTGTGCAGAACGGATTTTGGATTGTTTTTGAGGATATCAATAAAGCACCATCCGATGTACACTCCATTCTGTTGCCTTTATTAGAAGGGGCAGATTCATTTATGACAGAACGAGGGGAGGTGATTTTTTTTGCTGTTTGCTTCTTTTCTTAAATAAAGTAAATTGTATTCAGTTTTTGGTTTTTTGGTCCATGAACTCCAAGCAGATCATTTCATAAGATGCAATAATTATTTGTTATCTTAATTCTTTCATGTTCTATGCTACTTTTGTGTGGATTCCATGTTGCATTCTATTCTTACCTTATTTAATAAATACATATGGCATTTTAAGTCATCATCATTGAAGTGATACAAGTAACAACTAAAGTAGACAAACATTTGGGCGATTATGGCATTGTGTGCTAGAACATTTCTTCATTATGACTAGAAAAAGGCATTGTTCACTACACCCCTAGAAAAATCCAAAAGCCATATGACAATCAGCTAAGCATGTGGTAACCTGGTAGGTGTCCAGCCAACAAGTTTTAGCATAAGTACTTAAATGCATACAATTCTAACTTTTTGTAGTTTTATTTTTTCTTGACTGAAAAGTTCGAGGCCTTTGCTAAACTTGCACAAGACTTCAAAATTGAAAATTTAGGTCTTTACCTTTTCACGTAGCAGTATGTGATGGTCTTATTATTGACGCAGTTGGCCAATCAAATCGCATGTTGCATTTTGTAGGCTGCATCCTTAACATCGATCATTCTGATGTGTGTAACGCGCAGCTATTGTATGGAAACTGAAGCTATTTATTTTTTTATTATCATTTTGTTTTGCAATTCTTGTATGGAATATTTTGTTTGTAGTTCCTAGTGAACGCTTGGTTGTCATGGTACCTTAGTGTTATTTCTCATGATGTACTCACAAAGAATTTGACAATATAATGGGGCTGAATCTAAAGTACTTGTAATTTGGAGTGGGTTGGTTTTCTGTTTAAAAGGATATCCTGTTCTCCACAGAGCATATAATCTTTATTATTTCTTCAGTAAATTTTTTTCTCCGACAAAATTTACTTTGGCAATATAGTGTTGTTGTATTTGTCCTTTACATTTTTATCTTTGAATAAAGTATTTTTCCTTTACATGAATGTATGAGGTAAAATAAAAGCAACATTGAGGTCTGGTTTATGCTCTACAATGGCCGAATCCCTTGGCATTTTCCAATCCTCTTGCTTTACTAGGGATCATATTTCGTACGATATATATTTTCTCTAGGAAATGAATGTACACCTTACTAGAATTCTAGATGGATAAATTCTACCGTTCAATGCCTATTGTCTCAACTCCTCTTTACCGGTCATCAATTGTTTAAGTATTACAAATTCTGCAGGTAATAAAGGTGGCCGAGAGTTTTAGGATGTTTTCGACTATTGCTGTTTCTAAGTTTGACTCTTCTGAGAGTGCAGGTTCTTAACTTCACCATTCATGATTTTAATTTGTAATATTTGTATTTCTTTCTATGTTGGGGTATATCGTGTTGTTTATTCATTTACTTTCTCACCATAAATTCATTTGAAGTTTGGGGTTTCTAACTGTGTACTCCCTCCGTTCCTTTTTAAGTGTCATTTTTTAGAAAAAAAATTGTTCCTTTTAAGTGTCACATTTCAAAGTTCAAGATAGTATTAATTGTAGTTTTGTTAAAATTACCCGTAATCATTATTATAGAGAGAAAAAAGTTAAATAAACTATTAAAAAGTTAAGGGTATTATAGGAAAAAAACAATCATTGTTTAAAAAGTAACAATAATCATCGGTTGTTTTGGTATGTGTAAAAAGTTAAAAAGTGACAATTAAAAAGAAATGGAGGGAGTATTGTTTTCAAGAGATGGATGAATGTCAGATGAAAGAAAATGACTCTTTGGTGGTAATTCTAATAGGATAAGTGCAAACAAGACTAGAAAATACATAAAGATTGGGTACTTCTTGTTCTTCCCAAAAATTGTTAATAAAATGCTACCCAAACTCGAGTGCAGCCATCACTTGATAGTATCGAGTCATTAAAATAAATATCTGCAAGTTCTAATAAATAGTAGGTTTTAAAAGAATTAAACAATTAATAGCCTGTTTTTTTGATATAGCCTAATGATACCTCTTGATCAATGTTGTAGAGTTCATGGAGTGGGAATTATAGGTTGCTATTGTTGTTGATTTAAAATTCTATTGTTTTATGTGTTGGAATTATGAACTAGATCCTGACTTTGGCTGTCCTTTAAGGTCAAGGTTCACTTAGTGTCCTTTGGAAAAGAATAATAATTCAACCACCAGAAAATGAAGATTTGCAACAGATAGTCAAAGTGAGGTATCCTGATTTGGAGCTTCATGCATGCAAACTTATAGGTATTGATTTACAATTTTGATAATATATGGTTGGCAATCTATTTTTTAATCATAGCCGTTGATACAGACTCCCTTTTTTAATATCTTGTGATAAAATATTTCTATATTTTTGGCAGAAACCTTTGAAAGGATCAACAATATTTCCGTGTTTCAAATAGCGGGTTTTCACCCTGAAAGCTCTTCTATCTATTGTCAAGGCAGGTTCTCGTTAAGGTATTAAGAATAATTATATGCTGCCTGTGCTATTGTTACTTTTCTTTTGATTAATGTCCATTTGGTTCTCCATGGCAGGGATCTCTTAAAATGGTGTAAAAGAATTACTGGGTTAGGTTTTTGCTCTGATAGTAGCTTGTCAGAAGAGCAATGTAATTATATATATACAGAGGTCTGTTTTTTTTGTCTCTTAACTTTTTTATCATATATTTTGGAGTTACTTCATGTGTGTAACTTGTATTTCATCTCAGGCTGTTGATGTATTTGCGGCCTTTCCGGCTTCATTTGATAACCGGTTATCAATAATGAAAGAGATAGGAAAGTTGTGGAAAACATGGGATTCTGCTTCTGAGACCTTATATGCCCTTGACAAACCAATATATCAGGTTTTATTTATTGAAGTTTAGCCTTTGCTTCATTATTTTGCCTCATCAGTTTCTCATTTATGATGGTAAATGCAGGATTCTGTTGCAGGTTTAAAAATAGGCCGGGTTTTACTCCAGTACAAAAAAGAACCTGTAAGTATAGTCTGCTACAAGTTTTAATGAGGATGATATAACTTCTCCGAAAAGGTTTCATGTTTCCTTGACTTTACTTTTATTTTTCATATGCAGTCACATGAACGCAAAATACCATTTGTTGAGATCCGTAGTTCTTTGTTTATATTAGAGCGTATAGCTTGCTCTGTCAAGCATAATGAACCTGTACTCTTGGTTGGAGAAACTGGTACCGGAAAGACTACACTTGTTCAAAATTTGGCTTTAAGGCTTGGTCAGAAGCTTACTGTTTTGGTCTGTTACATATTGCTCTATTATTTGCTCTGTTATTTGAAATTCTATTAAGGTTTTTGGGTGAGACATGATGTTGTTTATCATTTTTTTCCAGAATATGAGTCAGCAAAGTGATATTGCTGACTTACTTGGAGGATTCAAGCCTGTGGATGAACAGTTTGTCTACTCCCACCTTTATCAGGAATTAAAGGCTCTATTCGCTAGGACATTTTCTATTGAGGTATTTCTTATATTTATTTGTGTTTTGTGTTTAACTGTTATTAAAGGCTCTATTCGCTAAGACATTTTCTCTAGAGGTATTTTTTATATACTCCCTCCGGTCACTATTATAAGCAAAAAAGTGACCTTTAATCTTGGTAACTATTGTCAGCAAAAGTCATTAACTTTTAAAGTAATTAATGCTTGTATTACTAGTATACCCTTGATTTATCAAATATAACTAAGGATATTATAGTAAATTTTACTTTGATTGTACATGAAATCAAGATAATTAATTATACTTAAATAACTTTCTTAATCTGTGTGGAGGTAGTTATTTTTGCTTATAATTGTGACCGGAGGGAGTATATTTGTGTTTAACTGTTGTTAATGGCTCTATTTGTTTTTTTTGAAATGTACAGGAAAATTCAAAAGTTCGTAGTTATCTAGAGAAGAGTTTAAATAACAAGGATTGGGTAGGTCTACTTCGAGGAATGCAACTAACAGTTGAGGGGTCACAAAAGCATATAAGAGCTAGACCCTCCAAAAAGCGTAAAAGGCCTTTAGGAGAAGAAATATTCCAAGCCTGGGAGAGTTTTTCTATAAAACTTGACAGTATCTGTAAAAATAATCCATCTTCTGGGATGATGTTTTCATTTGTAGAAGGAAGTTTTGTAACTGCTCTTAGAAATGGTTGGTGGATTTTGCTTGATGAGGTGAATTTGGCACCTCCAGAAACCTTGCAGAGAATAATTGGCGTTCTAGAAGGGGAAAATGGGGCACTGTGTTTAGCTGAAAGAGGTGATATTGATTATATACACCGTCATCCAAACTTCCGTATATTTGCTTGTATGAATCCAGCAACTGATGCTGGGAAGCGGGATTTGCCCTTGTCATTAAGGAGTAGATTTACTGAATATTTTGTCGATGAAGTTCTGGACGATAATGATTTAAGTCTATTTGTTAGTCAGTTCATTAATAGTGGCCATATACAGCTGGTGAATAAAATTGTGCGTTTCTATAAAGAATCGAAAAAGGATTCTGAAGAGAGGCTTCAGGATGGTGCTAATCAGAAACCTCAATACAGTTTAAGGTCCCTTTATCGTGCTCTAGAGTATACAAGGAAAGCAGAGAGAGATTTTGGATTTCAGAAGGCTTTATATGATGGCTTTAGTTTGTTTTTTCTCACCTTGTTGGATGGATCTAGTGCGGACTTAATGAGGCAAAAGATATTGTCTCTTTTATTGGGGGGAAATATGCCTTCACATGTACCTTTTCACAGATATTTAAGTTCCTTCAAATCCGATGGATATTCTGGAAACTATGTCAAAACTAAAAGTGTCGAGGAGCATCTTGGTAATTTGGCTCGAGCTGTTCTAATAAAGAGATACCCTGTTCTCTTACAGGGACCAACATCTAGTGGGAAAACTAGCCTTGTTCAGTATCTTGCTTCCGTAACTGGGCATGAGTTTGTAAGAATCAATAATCATGAACACACCGATTTGCAAGAGTATCTAGGTTCTTATATAACTGATGCTAGTGGAAAGCTTGTTTTCAATGAAGGTGTTTTGGTAAAAGCTGTAAGAAACGGCTACTGGATTGTACTGGATGAGCTTAATTTGGCTCCATCTGATGTGCTTGAAGCATTGAACCGATTACTTGATGATAACAGAGAGCTTTTTGTTCCTGAACTGCAAGAAACAATTAAAGCACATCCGAACTTCATGCTTTTTGGAACTCAAAATCCGCCTACACATTATGGTGGCCGAAAAATGTTGTCTCGGGCATTTCGCAATCGTTTCATAGAGATTCAAGTTGGTGAGATTCCTGATGACGAGCTGAGCAAGATACTGGGGGAGAGATGTGAAATTCCTCTAAGTTATGCCTCAAAAATGGTTGAAGTAATGAAGGAGCTTCGGATGCACAGACAGAGTAGCAGAGTCTTTGCTGGGAAACATGGATTTATAACTCCTCGCGACTTGTTTCGTTGGGCTGATCGTTACAAAAGATTTTGTAAATCTCAAGAAGACTTGGCGAAAGACGGTTATTATCTTTTGGCAGAACGGCTCCGGGACGAGGATGAGAAATCTATTGTTCAAGAAGTTCTAGAAAAACATTTTCGGGTTAAACTAAACATACAAAATTTATATGGTCAGGTATGGTTATTTTTCTTTCTGTATGCTTTGAGCTGCCACAGCTTTTTCCTACCCTTTACTGCAAAGTGCATACTTGTTGACTAAAGTTTATCTTCGCATGAAATAGTTCAAGTTGTAACAAGCCATTTATTGTGAAGTTCCCTTAAAGATTCACTCTATTTGTTTTCCATTATTTGGATTTAATTTCAGAATACCTATTTATTTTAGTGATTACGAAAGGGATGAACTATAATATATCATCAGCAAGCTTCTTAATTGTTTTTCAGATATTGTCCGGAGAAAGCTCTTCTTTCAATTCAATTATTGGTTTAGGGGGTTCGGAGAGCCTTGGAAGGTATTGGCTTATTGTTGCGTATTCTGTGTTGACCAAAGTCTTTGGCTCATTATCTCTTACTGATGGTTTTGCATATGCAGGGTACTATTGACTAAAAGTATGAAGAAGCTATATTTCCTCGTGGAGCGTTGCTTTCAATTACGTGAGCCTGTGCTACTTGTTGGGGAAACAGGTGGAGGGAAGACCACTGTTTGTCAGTTGTTAAATGCTCACTTGCAGTCGAAGTTACATATCTTGAATTGTCATCAGTATACAGAAACATCTGATTTTATAGGGGTTGGTTTTTTATGTTCTTTCGTCCAAGTATTCATATCTTATACCGACACTTTAAAAGAGACTTGGATTTGTGTTTATTTCTATGCACTATTACTATCAGAAGTATTGACTAGAAGATGTTTTGCAGGGTTTTCGTCCTATACGAGACAAATTTAGGTTGATTTCTAACTATGAAGAGACCATTGAACAATTGAAAAAACTAAAGGCTTTTACACACTATCCTGAAGACCATGTGAGTGTCATATTTCTGAAGGCTTTCACTGCATTCAGAAAGCCATTCCTTTCTATGCTTGTTTTCTTCGCTTCTCTGTGCTGATTTGTCATTTTCAGGCACAGTTTATTTCTTCTGGCATAGATCAAGCTTCCTCAACTATTGAACTACTGAATAGTATGATGAGGAAATATAAAGCGGGCCGGGTTTGTAGTGCTGATGTCAGCAAAGAAGACCTCTATGCTTTGGAGCAATTAAAGTTGAACCTTGATGTCTTGCATCATAAGTGGCAGAGCATATTTGAGTGGCAGGATGGTCCCCTTGTAAAAGCAATGAAAGATGGTGATCTCTTTCTTGTGGATGAGATATCCTTGGCGGATGATAGCGTGCTTGAGAGATTGAATAGTGTGTTGGAGCCAGAAAGGACGCTGGTAAGTCAATTATATATGTAGACATTTTTTCCTTGAATTTGATGTTTAGGCTGGTTTTAGATCAAGCTTTATTGTTCTGTGTATTGAATGATTGGGTCATTACTTCTTTCTTTTGGTTTAATGATGACAGTGTTTATACATGCGTTCAAAGTATAGTTGAACCTGAAATTAGAAGATGAATGAGGCCCCTTGTCCTTGCTTGCACAAAAAGCGTATCAGGAAGATTTACCCAGAGGGATATGAGAGCTTTATTGTTCATGGTGTATTGAATGATGATCTCAATACTTATTTCTATTGGTTTAATGATTATTGTGTTTATATGTGTGTTCAAAGTATAGTTAATGTACCTAAAGTTAAAAGATGAAAGAGGGTCCTTGTCCCAAAAAAGCGTATTGAAAAGATTTACCTATGGATATGAGAACTCTTTTGTGCATTATGGCCTATGTTGTCAATAGTGTGCTATAGCGGAATAGTGGCAGTAGGGTTTGGCACGACTCTTTTGGCCTGCAAGCCGCCATCAACAATAGCAGTTGTAACCGCTATCACAACCGCTACTAGGGTTTTGGGGAGAATATGCTCAAAGCCATTTTTTAAACCCTTGTCCTTTTCAAGAGTATAAATGCCTTTTAAAAGTAATATTATGTTCTTCATTCTGTTATGTTTTTTCTTAAACAATAGTTATGTTCGTCCTACTTTTGGTTCAATTCTGTTATGCTTTCTTCTCTGTTTAATTTTTATTGCTCTCTACTTTAGGTTCTTCAATTGTTTAATATGAAGGTCTCTTAATTTTGTGTATTTTTCTATTTTTAAGTATTTATGTTTACTTTGCACACTGTTTTTAAGTCATTCATTATCGACTATCCCGCTATCCGCTATAGCATTTTAGGAGAGCTCTCCCTCCAGATAAGAGCGCTCTCCCTCCAGATTCCATGTCTTCTATGGAAACTCTGTTAAAATATTATATTTTGAGCACATTTTTGACACGAGTATTGCTGGTGGTAGATATTTTCTTTTCATTATTGTTTGTCATAATTCCTCTCACTCTTTTAGTTTCTGAGTTTTTGTTTCTTTGGCTGCAGTCTTTGGCTGAGAAAGGAGGGCCTGATCTTGAGAAAGTTGTGGCACATTCAAAATTCTTTGTTCTTGCAACAATGAACCCTGGTGGTGATTATGGTAAGAAAGAGCTGTCTCCAGCACTACGCAATCGCTTCACAGAGATATGGGTTCCCCCTGTTATTGATCTAGATGACCTGAAAGGAATTGCTCTGGAAAGGTACCATTATTTTTAACTATTAGAGGAAAGTTTTTTTTGATGAACACGTTTAATTTATGATTTATTTGATTTAAATGCAGAATTTCCAAGTTCAAAGACCCCACGTATCAAGAGAGACTATTACTCATTGTTAATGCTATGATTAGTTTTTGGGAGGTATGTTACATGGAAATTTACTGTTGAAGTCATTAATCAGACATCTTTTACTTGTACAATATTCCCCACTTTGCTGATCACCCTTGGCATTCAATGTGTTTGTCTCCTACTTTGAACAAACCATTCACTTTACATGGCTATTTGGCTAGTTAATTAGAAGCTTGTCTTCAGGCCCGGCTCAAGGGGTGGGCCACCTGAGCCACTGCCTTGGGCCTCCAATTTATTTTTTCTTTTTATTAGTATTTGGTTTATGATATTTTCGTGCATTTTTTTTATTAGCCAACAGAGAAGACGTGTTTTGCTCAGTTGGTGGTTTGCTACTTGCTAGCTTTTTTTTCAATTTGATTTTAATTTGGAAAGAGAGTCAACAACAAAGAATGAAAAAGAATGATTTGCGAAAACAATATTTGAAGCACCGCAAATAGCAACATGATTAGCACCATAAAATGTAATATAAATATATTTCTAATTGTGAAAATATTTAGACTTACCACCATAAAATGTAAGAATATTTTAAATAAAATTTAAATATTTAATATTGAATTTTATTTTAAAATTCGCCTTAGGCCTCGATATGTGTTGGGCCGGTCCTGCTTGTCCTTATCATATCATACACATTTATTTAGGCTAAGTTGTAGTTCATTCTCTTTCTACTTTGTTTTCTTATGAAATCTGTAATTTGTTTTATTTTGCAGTTTCTGTTTTCCCCTATATTGTGTATTTAGTTTTTCTATAAAAATATTCTTTAACACATTTCTGTTGTCTTAGTATTGTGGTTGGACCTAACTCAACCTTATAAGACAGACTTGTAAGATGAGAATTACCTCTACTTACAAACATATGTCGGGATATATGGCATTTGATGTGGGACTAAATGCTGCAATTCAAATGCCACAATTAGGTAACTAGAGACAGACTGTAATGTAGGCGGAATTTGAAATGCAATTCTAATGCTGCAATTAGGAGACTAGGGGTGGACCGCAATGAGGATTGAATTTCCAACTTTATGGATGAAGCTTTGTTTTGTCTTCAGTAACCACTTTTGAGTTTGTTAGAGTGGACATTAAGATGATTAGTTTCTTTCCTTCTATGTGTCTTTTCCTTGTGAAAAAGGCTCAGGGTTTTGTTTTTGTTACAGTTGTCTCTAAGTTCTTGCTTTGCATTTTTGCAGCATATAAGTATATTTTATGTTGCTATTCTACTAACTAGCATATTATTGTTAATTTGGTTTATTATTCTTATATTTTGCAGTGGTTCAACAAATTACATCCAGGGAGAATGCTTACTGTCAGAGATCTCATTTCCTGGGTTTCTTTTTTCGATGTAATGGAAGGAAGCTTAGGACTCGAACATGCACTTCTTCATGGAGCATTTCTTGTTTTGCTTGATGGGTTAAGTCTAGGTATGCTTAGTTTGTAGTGATTATTCATTTCTTCAACTTCTCTTGTTTCTTGTTTAATTACTATATTGAATGATTGGTTTTGATTACTTTATGCTTGATATCATACTCAACTTTACACTAATCTATATGCCTTCATTCAATTTTAGCATCTATATGTCTTCATTCAATTTTAGCATCTATATGTCTTCATTCAATTTTAGCATCTGTTTGTTTGTATAGTTTATTGAAGCTGAGCTGAGGCATGAATGCTGTTTATATTGGAATAATTTACTCCATACTTGAATGAATTCAGAATTTTGAAAATAAACTTCTTGGGAGAGAATGCTTCTGATGTTGAAAGTACTGTATTTTACAAGAATAAATAATATAATTGGCATCAGGGGGATAATGTTTGCAATCTTTCATGTAAGCTCCATTTTATGGACTGCAAGATATTCAAGGCAGAGACACTATCTAGCTACATAATCATTTTACAAATTGTGTTGTCACAGCATATTTTAATAATTTCATTACACGCTTTGAAGTCCTTGAGTAATTACACTTTATTTTCTTCTTTGTTTCTGATCTAGAGAGTTTTCCAACTTATCAGGGACAGGCATTTCAAAAACGGATGCTGGAGAGCTAAGGGAGAGATGTTTATCCTTTCTTCTACAAAAGCTGGTGGTATGTTTCTCCCCGTGTTATCATTGTACATTATCTCTCTTTCGTTTCCAAGTCTTCTAAGGTGAAGTCATCTGATTGGGAAGTGCTACTAATAAAACCAACACTGATGTCTTATTGAAGATTATTAGGAGATCTATTGCCCTTCAACTGTTGTTTTTGGTGTGTGACATTTGTCAGAATGTTTCCGTTAAAAATGATTTGTAGCACATGTATAATGTCTTGGTCGGAATCCCTTTTATGAAGAGTGATATTACTTGCTACTCATTATACATTTGCTCCTGTTTCTCTTGTAATCAGTATTTTATTGTTTCTAATTCATGCTCTTCACATTATTATTTTTAAAAGTTTATTGTAAATGGCAACTGGATTTATTGCTACAGGTTGATGAAAGTAATTTACTATATTCAAAGCTTTCAAGAATGGGGAACTATGGTTGGGGTGAATTTGGCACAAACGTGCATGTGCCACATAATGATGATAAGCAACATGATGATTTATTTGGCATTGACCCATTCTATATCAAGAAAGGTAATAAATATAAATTATACTGTTACTTGATTTAGTTTTGTTTGCTCAGTTCTTTGTTGTCACATTAAAGCTTAATCCGGTCCTAGTAGTCTACTATATATATTTGAGATGCAGTCATTTGGCCGCATTTGTGTGTTACTGTTAAAGAGATAGAAAGATACTCCCTCAGTCTCAAAATAATAGTCGTTTAAGGTTGTTACACGGAGATTGAGAAAAGTAATGATTGAGTCAATAAAAGTAACATCTTTACAAAATTACCCTTTATTTTTATTGGTTGTAGTACATTGTCATACTTGGAAAGAGTGTATACAAGGGGTAAAATTGATAAAAGTTAATTATAATTGCATTGGAAAAGTAAAGAGACTATTATTTTGAGACAACTTTTTGAGACTAGAAAGACAATTATTTTGAGACAGAGGGAGTATCATAGATGAATATATTTTCTTTTTTATTTATTTTTATTTTATTTTATTGTTAATGAGGATTGATTTTTCTCCCACACTGTAGCTTTTTTTGCTCTCTTTTTTAATAGATTGTTTCTTCTGAAATACAACAATATAGATAGCCACATGTGCTTTATTCTGCGTGACTTTTGTTTTCTGCTTATATAGGTTTCAGCAGTTGTGAGGACGGTGGGTTTGAATTCAAAGCGCCGACCACCCGCAGGAATGCCTCTAGAGTTTTGCGGGCTATGCAGCTTCCAAAGCCTGGTATGTTTTTTTATTTACATTTTGGTTATCCTTATATTCTGTTATATATTGGTTATGTTATCGTGGTACTAGTTTCTTGCGAATGCAAGGTAAGTCTGTCCTCAGTAGACTTAAATCCACAGTGTGTCAGACCCTTCTCTCTGAAATCCATCCTCCTTGAATGGAGTGTCATGGCATGGGGTTACTCTTTTTTCTATGTATTTCCTCTTTTAATTCTATATCAGCAAATTTCTCATTTAAATTGTATTTATATTTGTGTTTTAATTGGATGCTGGTTACCAGTATTACTTGAAGGTAGTCCAGGTGTTGGGAAAACAAGTTTAATCACTGCCTTGGGAAAATATTCTGGGCATAGAGTTGTGCGGATAAACTTATCTGAGCAGGTCAGTAATAATTTACCCAACTTTTTTTCTGTTAGGATAAAAAACAAAGGGGGAGTGTTAGAATTTGAGCTAAGGAGTTAGTTTGGGAAGTTAATAGATAATGGGGTAGTTAAGATTATTGTGTATAAATAGGCAGGTTATGAAGTTAGAGAAGGTATTATAGACCATTGTAATCTTTGTGAGTAGATTAGTGACTTTATTGTACAAGGGGAAACCTTTGGAGGAGTGGTCTCTCTCATATTATTTTTATTTTTTTTTAAGAAAAGTGTTGTATCTTTTCATTACAAATTTTGGGTTCCTAACATGTTCTGTCTTTGCAAACCTTAGTGGATTTTTATTTTTCTATTTTTTTTGGTGCAGACTGATATGATGGATCTGCTGGGGTCTGATTTACCTGTGGAAAGTGATGAAGGGATGAAGTTTTCTTGGTCTGATGGGATTCTATTGCAGGTTGAAATGTCTTAAGATGATAGCTATTGTGTTCTTCTCTGCTTTTGATATGTATTTAACTTCAAGCTATCATGTCTGTGCAGGCCTTGAAGGAAGGCTGTTGGGTTTTGCTGGATGAGCTCAATCTTGCCCCACAATCTGTTTTAGAAGTTAGTTCTTTATAAATGTTAACCTCTACCTGTTCGTATGTTTTCATTTTCATCACCTCTTTATGAGCTTAATCTTGCCCCACAATCTGTTTTAGAAGTTAGTACTTGATAAATGTTAACCTCTACATGTTCGTCTGTTTTCATTTTCATCACCTCTGGATGAGAGCTTAATTTTGCCCCACAATCTGTTTTAGAAGTTAGTTCTTGATAAATGTTAACCTCTACCTGTTCGTCTGTTTTCATTTTCATCACCTCTTTATGAGCACCATTATATTCTTTCTACCTTAATTATTGCTTTTCCGATTTCTCTTCTTCAAATTTTGTGTTGGGGGAAGGGTAAGGGTTTTACCAGTATACAGAATGAGTTGTAACACAACTCTTTGACACAGGGTTTGAATGCTATTCTGGACCATCGAGCTGAGGTGTTTATACCGGAGCTGGGTAATACTTATAAGTGTCCTCCTTCATTTAGAATTTTTGCGTGTCAAAATCCATCACATCAAGGCGGTGGCCGGAAAGGCCTTCCAAGATCATTCCTAAATCGATTTACTAAGGTATGATTGTTGAATATTAATTTTGTATTTAAATGGGGGCCTCGAGAAGTTGAAAGGAGGAATTCAAAACAAGTTTAACTAGAAAAATCCAACCTCCAAGTTACTTAAAAATCTTGAAAAACCATAGGGAAATCTTATTACTTCCTTCTTTCCAAAATATTATGATTGCAAAAATGTCTTTTGATATGTTTTTTTGTTAGTAAACATGATTCTTATGTGCTCAATACAAGATGCATTAACTGCTCTTTGGTCATGGATGATAGGTATATGTCGATGAGCTAGTTGAGGATGATTATCTGTCAATTTGTAAATCAAAATTTCCAGCTATCCCGGAGCCTTTACTTTCAATGTTGATCTTATTGAATAAAAGGATGCATGAAGAAACCATGCTGAATCAAAAATTTGCAAAGGATGGTTTCCCATGGGAATTTAATCTTCGTGATGTGTTTCGATCTTGTGAGATAATTGAAGGTCTGTTATTTGTATTCATTATGCTTCTGATTTGATATTTCTGTTTTTCCAGCTTTTCCTTTTATTACCGATATCCCATGAAGGATTCTTTTCTTTTTTCTTGATGTTTCATTGTATTTAATTTAGGTGCACCTAAGCATTTGGAGGCATTACATTCCTTCTTGAACATTATTTATATTCAAAGAATGCGTACATCTGCTGATCGCAAAGAAGTCTTACGGGTCTTCGAGGAGGTATTTAAGGAGACACCGTCTATAAATCCATATCCTCGTGTTCAACTCAATTCAGATGATTTATTTGTGGGGAATGTTGCTATTAAGAGGAATATCACCCAATTTTATACTACCTCAAGCAGTCATCTCCTGATACAACCTAAAATTTGTCAAAGTTTGGAAGCTGCAGCTCTTTGTGTAGAGCGTCAATGGTTATGTATCTTGGTTGGCCCATCATGCTCAGGGAAAACTAAATTGTTAAGATTACTTGCTGCCCTAACAGGCAATGTACTGAATGAAGTAAATCTTTCATCCGCCACTGATATTTCTGAATTACTGGGATCTTTTGAACAATATGATGCCTTGCGTAACTTCCGCACAGTTGTTGCTCAAGTCGAGAGCTATGTTAATGAGTTCTGTAGTTTGCAACTGGAGGTTTCAAATGGAACAACTTTTAAGGAAACAGATTTTTATAGAAGATGGATTGCTTTTTCGTCTAAATTTGAGAACTTAGCTTCTGCTTCAAGTTATCTTGAAAACTGGAGGAATATAATTTGTTCTCTTAGTTTGTTAGACGAGATCATTGAAAAATTGAAGTTGTATATAGAAAATAATTCTCTTCTCTTATCTTATTCAATCCGGGATCTTGATTTGGTCAAGCATACAATTTTGAAACTCAAAGCAGATGATCAGAAAAGGTTGGCTTCCACAAAATTTGAATGGGTTACAGGATTACTGATCAAGGCTATAGAGCGAGGGGAATGGATTGTATTGGAGAATGCAAATTTATGTAATCCCACGGTATGTGATGCATATATTATTGATACTTTGTATTTGGGTGTGAAGTTGTGCTTATCAGTGTGTATTTTTATGTTCTATTTTTTTGTTATTTTTATTATATTCCGCAGTTCTATTATGGTAGTTTTTATGTATATACTTTTATTGTAGCAGCCATGCTTCTGTGTCATAGGCTACAGTGCCACCACCATATTCTAATGGCAGATTTTTGGCTGGCCACCACCATCCACTATCAACCATTGAAAATATTGGATACAAATTATGTTATTGTGCGTAGCAGTATCAATCTGTATTTTTAATTTTTTTTACTAATTGTTTTTGTTTCTAGGTTCTTGATAGGATTAACTCTTTAGTTGAACCTAGTGGATCAATCACGGTCAATGAGCGTGGAATTGTTGATGGAAATCCGTTGGTTATCCACCCACACCAAAATTTCCGCATGTTTCTCACAGTTAATCCTCGCTACGGCGAGGTTTCTAGAGCTATGCGTAACAGAGGAGTTGAAATATTTATGATGGAGCCATACTGGGGTTTGGATGATATAAGTCCTGAGATTATTGAACTCAAAGATGTAAAGAGATTTCTCAGTTTATCTGGTATCCCAGTTGCTCAATTGATTGATTCAATGGCCAGAGCCCACATGTATGCTAAAAGTGAAGGTTCCAAGCTTAATGTTCACATTACATATCTTGAACTTTCACACTGGGTCCATCTATTTTGGCAGCTTCTCATGAACGGATGTCGTCCCATCTGGAGTCTACAGTTGAGTTGGGAGCATACATACCTCTCGTCATTCTATTTCAAAGGGGAAGAAATTATCAATTTTGCAAAATCAAAATATTTATCAGTAACTGGTTTGTCTAGATGTGATCCTTTGGCAGAATGTTCTTTGGGCTTACCAGGAGGATGGCCAGTTACATTAAGGTTAAGAGATTATATATATTACTCAAAAGAAGCTTCAATCAAACAGAATTGCATGTATCTGGAGTTTCTGGGATCTCAATATGCATCACATGAATACCAAAATGCTCAAAGAAGGCACTCGGGAGATAGTTTGCTAACTACTAGTGGTCACGTCAGGCCATATTTGATGGATATGAGGATGTTGCATGATATTCAGTTTCCTAAGACTTCAATTGGGACAATGTCACACTGCGAAAGTGAATCTGTATTCAATTCAGAATTGGCAAACAAAAGGCTCTTATTTGCAGCTAATTGGACAATTGAACAAGCAACGGAAAGTGATTTGAAGTTATATCTTTTCAGGTTTGATTGGTTTGGTTCTCAGCTGCACCCTTTCTGCAAAAAGTTCTTCCCTAACTTCCATAATTTGATAGGAGATGTGATTAAACATCCTATTTGGGAATATATTTTATGCCGTAGCAAACTAGATGTTGATATGCAGTTAAGGCCATTGTTATCATTAGATTTCACTGATTTGGAAGCACCAAACAGCGAAGTTAAATATCTCTGTAATGCCATTCGTTGCTTTGATCCGCTAAGGTTAACTTACCAGCAACAGTTTATTGAGAGTCAGTATAGTTTTACAGATTCAACAAGTTACTTTCGTCCAGTTTTGAAGTCTCTTCATGTGTTGGAAGATGAATTCCTTATGAAACTCGTAGCATCAACTCCTAAGCTCATTGAAGATACATCATTTGATGATATAATACAGTTATACTTCGACCTTATTGAGGATCATGTATTATTCTGGCGTTACTTCAGTTCTTCAATGTCTGACCAGATGATAATTTCTTGGCATTCCTTGTTGAAAGATGCCGGGAAGTTTATGACTATCTGTCCTGAAGCTGCAAACCAATTTTTGGTAAGCTAAGCAATAATGTTTATATTTTCTACTATTTTCAGAAAGTAATTAACTTTTTTCTCTTATACCTTAAATAGATGGAGAGCAAAAATTTGAGAAGATTTTCATCTTCAGAAAAATCCTTGCTGTGGATTCATGGTGGTCATCCATTTTTGCCCTCATCGTCTGATTTACATGATAAAAATCAGCAGCTTTTAAAACTGTCAGAATCACTTTGGCCAAGGAAGAGAGCAAACATTAGTAATCAAGGTTTACTTATGCATTCCTTTTTGTTTTTTTTTTTCCATGGGAAAGTTTAGTATAGATATTGAGCAACCAATTAACTTCTCTGTTGGGAAAACTCAGGAATGAGTCATCATGCCGATGCTGTCGTAGCATTGAATCATGATCTCCGCTTCCTTGTAATGCAAGGTATGTTGTTAATATATTTTCCCTTATTATTGTTCTAGGCATTTAATTGGCGTCTCCTCACTCACTCATTTGTAGTTCAAATCTCAACGAGCCATGACAATTTCCTTAAAGCTATCATAGATGGATTCTTCTTTTCAAATAGTTTTGTAGTTCCAATAGTTTTCTGGCGTTGCAGCAGCTATCCTTTTTATTATTCGTTTTGGGATAATTAAATATTTATTCTGCATATATGTGGTTGACTTCATTTCATGTTTGAAAGTTTCATCAAACACATGTTTAGAGCAGAATTTGGTCAACCAGACAAACTAATTGTTTTTTTTTGTTAGCGTATATGCTTTCTAATTCTATGGCAATGTGCTGTCCGAATCATGATAGATCATTGTTTTCTCGGGAAGTTTTAGCCCAATGGATTATAAAGTTATACCCATCTAGGATGATTGTTAATTTTTACCTATGTTGGCCTATATATGCTTGATAATCAAAATCTATCGAATATGTGATAGTCTCTTAAAGTATGTAGCATGGATGTTTCTGGTTCTGTCACTGATTGGTTGTGCACATATGTCAATTTTATTTGCCTTTGATATATTGCTCATATGTTTATTTAAGAATGACTATTATTTCATTCTTTGTTCTGTAACCCTGTAGATATGTCCAACTCCTCTTTTATGGTAGCGAAACGGAGTCATGAAGATGATGGTACTCATATTATTGAGAAGTTAGATGAAGCATATCAGGTTCATGTCTTCAATATTGTCATTAAAAACTTCAAATGCACGTGTTTCTCTTTGATCTGTTACTGAGCTTGATTTACAGGTGCTGTTAGGAAGGTTAGAACATGAACAGAACAAGTTGAAAATGAATACTGGATCCAAAGATCTTTCAATTTATGCAGAAAGTCTAGCTTCTTGTTGTTCATCTACATCGGAATTGTTGCGCCAAAAGACTGTATTTGAGGGCTGGCAGGATACATTACCTCCAGCTGATGCTACCAGTCTATTCTGGGACATGGAATTACTAAAGGAGCTCACATCTGTGCCTTTGGACGAACTTGAAGGGTTACAGAAAGTAATATTCATAACAGTTTGCTATTTATGTGTTTATTGGTAGATTGTCTGTTCAGCTACTCAAATAAGTATGCGTATGTAAATACTTATTTATTGGTAGATTGTTTCAGTTTTAATAGTATTTCCTTCTTATTTGGTAGTTGCTGTATTTTCCAAGAGAATTACACTTTGATTCTAAATGAAGAATTGGTTTATTAGATCGCACTCTTTCTGTTAAAGTAGTTTGTATGCATCATGGATTGTTTTAAACCTAATTTTCTCTGCTTCTCTGGTTATAGGTTGTGGGACGTCTTTCCAACCTTTTGGACGCTGCTTTAAAATTTTCGTTGAGTTCCTCATCAAGACCCCCTCAAATGTTTTCACCACATCAAAAAATCTTGTGGACCCTGAATGCATGGACTTCAATAGATGCAGGTTGGTGCACGAAATCAGACTCGTCCCATTAACATTTTTTTTTTTGTTCACAAGATTATTTAATTTATTTTTGTTGCAGTGAATATGAAAATTGCAAGTTTTCTTCTCGAGATGTGGTTTAACTGGCACGAGTCTTTGTGGGCATGCTTTCCTGACTTTGTTAAGGTAAGTGTGCGTGCAAATTCTCTTTTCTCATATTTAGTTTTTCATGGCTGTGTGCTTTTTGACCCATTTATCATATTTGTTCTTGCACCAGAATTTCTCAAAGGTTGAAGGTTTTGATAACACCAGTATTGCACTACCCCACATGCTCATTCAGCCTGTGTGTGCTTCAACTGTGTTACAGATCACGTGAGTTCTTTTTATTTGTTATTTAGATTTTGTTATATACTACTTCTATTGTTTTAAAATATACCAAGGTTTTCCTTTTTATTCTGTTTATGCCGTCTCAAGTAAACAATGTGAACATTTTTACAATATCACAAAAGTGAAATAATATGAAAGATTTGTTACACTCGTGTTCTAAAATTTGTTGAAAATGAAATAATATGAAAGATTTGTTACTCATGTATTCTACAATTTGTCGACCGTGAAATAAAATGGTAAATGAATTTTGTAAGAAATGGTTTATTAATAAGTTCTTGGGTCTACTAAGTTCTTGGTTTATTAATAAGTTCTTGGATCTACTAATATTTGAATGTCACTGAAGCAGAGAGAAAATAGATAAGTCTTTCTGATTTGTTATTAACTGAAACTCAAAGTTACAAGGAGAGCAACAGTACAGTCTTTTTAAAATAGATTCTAGACTACTACAGCTGTTATTCACTTGCATAACTAACTGCTGTCTTAAACAGAAGCTATACATACCAAGAGTGAAAACATTCATTTGGTACATATCATTAGTAATTTCAATATTGGGGCTTTTGCCCATGAAAAAGAAGAAGTTTCTTTTGTATAGAGATTCAGTAAGAGAAAGAATAGTGCTTACCGTACTCAAGAACAGCATGTAAAACACAGTTACAGCCGGATTATTAAAACAGATACACATCGTAGCATATACTACAGTAAATTAATTGAGGAAATTCTCTGCAATGAATATGCATGACATAATTTTTGAAAACAATATAAATTGGGGATGTTAGAAATCATAAGTAACAACCACCATTTAACACTCCTAATTAACAACCACAAGTGAACACTCCTAAATACAGAACGTTTACCAATACTTTTGTAGACAAATCACTGTTGAATTTAAAACTGATGGCAGCTATTTTTCTTCCATTACATTCTGGTTAAATACTAGTCGATGTGCATCTTTTTCCTGATTGTTTCGTTTTGTTGTATATGAGTATTTGTTATCTGTTACTTGTGGATATTGAGAGTCATGAGATTGGCACATCCATCGTTACATGTCCTACAGAATTTCTCATCATTGTTCATCACATATTCAGGAAAAGCTCACATGCTATCAAGGAGTTTTGGGTGCAATGTCTCAAGTGTAGAGTGACCTTGTCCAATTTGTGGAATTGCTCTCATCATGGGCAATATTTGCCTAAATTTCTTATGTCTGGTGCTCGTGCCCTGTTACAGCAGGTAATATTTATTGATTTTTACTATATATATTTTATCATTCATCATTCATTGCACAGATTGCACATAACTTACCTCAAATTGTTAAACTAATTAATGTTTACTGCTTTGCTTAAATGCAGATTATTTATGCACACAGGAAATCGTTTGACGCTGATCAATATGCTGCAATTAAGTTTAACTTTTCTTCTTTTGAGAGAAACATGGCTACAGTATGTTCTTTTTATTTATTTAAGTTCTTGATATTGTTTTCACTTCTTTTGTTGTTTTGAAAAGGAAGAGAATTATGGGCCCTCCCCTAATCGCCTAATTACGACATTTGGTCCGCCCTTAGTTGCCTAATTACGACATTTGGCTTGCCTTATTTGCATCTCCAACACCTACATTGTGTTGGGTTTGAAGGAGTAGATTGCGTAGAGATATTTGGGCAATCCTCACTTTACAAGCCGGTTTTGTAGGGACGAGGGCTCAATCACACATTCTAAGATGGTATCAAAGTCTATCCTAGATCCGTTGTTGGGTTTCCCGCATCGTCCACGCTTCAGGCTCATTGAGACCTGAGCGTAAAGGGGTTTGTTGGAAATTCCGCCTTCATTGCGGTCGGCATTTGGCTTGCTTTGATTGCAGCCTCCAACACCTACATTGTGTTGGGTTTGAAGGGGTGGATTTTGTCCCACATTGCTTAGAGATATTGCTTAGAGATATGACATGTGTTGTGTTTTTAAGTGGGGACAATCCTCTCTTCACAAGCCGGTTTTGTATAGATGAGTGATCACACTTTCTAAGATATATTCTCCTCCCTTATGATGAATACCTACACTACTTATTTATCAGGATAATGCTAAATGAAGTTAAGCTGTCGTAGAGGTCTACGAGGCTGTTCTCTTATAAAACCACACAAGTGCAAGTGCTTATTTTATATATATAATTCACAATTTGCTTTTGAAGAACACCAAACAAATAAGGAACTTAATCCAAGTTTTGACATAAATCTCACTGGTTCTTTAATTGAAGTGTTAACTCCGGGATGTTTTGTGATAAATATATTTTAGTTACAATCTTCATTCAATTTCATATGTTCAGAAAATGAGAAATACATGTTTTGATGTCATTGAATTATCCGTGTTCTTCTGATATTCTGAACATGTAATGCTAATCAACTATTGGGATGACATTTGACTCAAAATAGTTATGAGCTTTATAGTTAACAAATATGTTAGGCATTTGGGAGGTTTTCATAGCACAAGGAAATCATAGAATACATGGTAGGACATATATTGCTCTAATTTATATTGTACTATTGATGCTCTTAGTTGGAGAATACATGCAAATGTGTATATAAAAGTACAATGGTTGTATTGAATACTTCCGTGGTCTTATTCTCATTCCCTTGTTAACTGAGTGTAGGAAGAAAGCATCCATTTGGTGAGCACTCTTGTTGCTTCATCCCGACACCACAGATTGAAAAACTCAGTGAATAAGTTCATTGTTCCCCTGCTTAGGGAGCTGTATCTTCAGTCCGCTACTGCTGGTAATTATTTGTCTCATCCCCTCAATCAATCAAAATATATAATTACTGACTATTTTTACCTTTCTCTATGGCCAGAGAAGTACAATCTTTCTGGTTCATGATTTTAAACCATGCCACTTCTAACTTTTCTTCTTCTTCTTCTTCTTCATATGTAACAGATTTTAATTTCAATTATATTATTGGTTGTGCATGGGCGCACATTGGAGCATTGCGCATTCATCTCTTGCTGAGCTATAATGAAGTTGATCCTGCCATGAAGTACTATTGCAAGTACACTCAGCTTGAAGAAACAATATCATCACTTGAACTTGAAATTCAGGTATTCCAAAAAGTGCTTTGATTTGACAGATAGCATATCAGTTTTCTTTTATATTAAGCTCTTGTTTAGTATTTACTACCTCACCCAATATTTTTCATCATCGTCATCACAGTTCCTTCATGGTATATAGCTTTGTACATCTGTAAAGTGAATCTGTTTTCATTTATTAAATTATTTTTAGGTGCGGAAAGAGTGCGGGTATTTAGCAGGACAGTTTTTGACAGTAGAAGCTGATAAAAGAAAGGCTGAAAGGCTAGAAAAGCTTCGGGCAGAGCGTAGAAAGCTGCAAAGAAAGGTTTTATAATCTTATCCTTTGATTTTCTATCTAGTTATTCATACTATTTTTCTCATGCATATTTAAGTTTAGATTCTTAGCCAAGTGTTTTTAATAAAAGATGCCCGTTTATTCTCGTTGATAGACTTTGTTTATGTGAAGTGCATTGAATTTTAAACGAGTTTCAAAATGTACTGTATCCTTGCTAAAAATATTTAGTCTTTGCTTATACGATGCAATGTGTTCTGGTGCGTTTATAGTTGAACAATGCTCATTGTTTTACATCTGGGTTCGGTAGGGCAAAATTGTCAGTAACAACAACGAAAGTCAAGCCCTGTCTCACTTGGCAATGTCAGTTAGTTGGATCAAACAATTCTAAAATTTTATTAACATATGCTATGATAAATTTGTTTAAATGGAAATTGGGCTTATTCTTTTGTCAATTCTGAGCATTACTATCATATATGCTTGCAGAGTATACCAGCATTATTAATGTTTTATTATTTTCACAAACATATCTTTAAAATTTTTATTTCCCAGTTTCTATCAATAATTTATAATTTGACTGGAAGTGCGGAAGTTATCTTGCTTTATGTTTGTGGGTGTGCTTCCCTGCGTTTTCCATTTCTTTTAATTATATTTGTATTGTATTCAGATTGTGTTCCGCCCTGAATCCTGTAAATACAAGAAGTTGATGAATGAATGTAACGAGTTTCTCAAACACGTTGCTGCTTTGGAAGTTTTGGTGAGTAATGTTGAAGCAGAGGATCTACAAAAAGTTATTGACAGCACTCACAGTTGGCAGGTATAACTATCTAGGAATGTTATCAAGGTTGACTTAATTTGGATTACTGTGTATAATTATTAGTTTTCTCATTTAAATGTTAATATTTAGTTTATAGTCTTATGAATATGATAAATGCATATTTTGTTTATAATATTTGAATAAAAATATCAATATTACAGCAAGATAATATTTGCCAAACGTAGTTTCACCCTTGGTTATTGGTTTGAGGCTAACCTTCCATCAAAGCAATCAGATAATCCCGTTTATTATGTTCTTCTTGAAACTACATAAAATTTATCATGGTAGAAGAAAAGACGGACGTTAAAAAACAATACTAATTTCATTGGCAAATTTTAAATTTATATTCATTTGTCATATTTTTAGAGCCACCTCTCAAAGGTTGTACCAAAAGTTATTATCCTTGTGCTGTCATTTATTTTTATTTCTTATTTTGAATTCTAGGAAACAGCAATGTGTTTCATTAATCGGTTGATGGATGAGTACTCAGCATTTGATGACATTATTCAACCAATTCAAGTTGCTGTGTATGAGATGAAATTTGGGTTATCACTGGTTCTGTCAAGCACTTTAGAAAAAGAATATTTGAGAAAAGTTGGGCATGAAAACATCAACCTGGTTATGGTAATTGTCATTTTTTGAATGTTTTCATGTATAAATTCATTTATTTTACATTTGAAAGCTGACATCATGAGCTTTTCAGGAAACGATATATGTACTTATGCGCTTCCCCCGAGCTGCTTCATGCAAGTTCATTTCTGTCGAGTATGTTGGGTTAGAATTGCATCCGTCATACAGGCTTGATTTTGGGACAGACTTTTATTTGAATGTGGGTTTGATAGAGAGACTTATTACTCTTTCAAGTGGCAATTCTTCCGATACGATGGTAAATAAATTATTGGATTAAGTTCAAATTCTAAAATTAAAATATTGATTGTACAAGTTTTGTTTTGTTAATTAGTTGTTATCTGAATTTTGAAATCAGGTATCTGTGCGATGTAGAGCTACCATCTACTGGAACATTCTTGTTCAAATTGCATATTCTATAGCAAATGCAAAAATAATTGACTGTAAATCTTATATGGTCAGTTTCCATGCTCTGTTTTTGTGTGCCAACTGATTCATTTTTATTTGAGTCTGTTGAAATCATTATTTGCTTATAACACACTATATCTTCTCTACCAGCTTTTGCAAAGAATCTTTGATGAGTTTTCCAGCCTTTGGATGAAAATGAAAGTTGATGCTAAATCAAAAAGCGATTATGATGCTCAACAGTTCAAGTTTAAGTCTCGAGAATTCCAAATTGAGAGTGTTATTGAGGTTGAAATACCAGCTCTTGCAAATTCAAGTACAGCTGAAGCATTTTCCGAATGGAAAGAATTTTCATTTGAAGAAAAATCCACTGACAAAGTAAGATTTGTTTTGTTTGCTAGATGCCTTTTCGTAATAAATGGATTCTATGTTGTATATATTACTCATCTGAAATGAATCCTGTTCAATTAATCAGATGGAGTCCTCAGAGGTATATGAAATATCGGATGAAGAATGGAAGCATCTGGAAGAGTCTATCCTTGACAATGTGGTTCTCATTCACAATCAGTTATTTGGATCTGATGATCTAGTCCAAGCTGTGAGTTAGTGTAGCCTTGACTTCTTTTTAAGTTAGAATATGATTTGCAATATTGCGCTGAAAGATGCCTTATTGTTTAACTGGACACTTCTTGTAAATATGAATAGAGTCTTATAATAATGGTCTCTATGGCTGTATATTAATTACATTTTTTGTCAATATTGGGAAGACCCAAGTCTCACATAGGATAAATATAAGGCTTTAGACGAGTTTATAAATAGTGGCACCGCTCACCTTTCAAGTCGGTTTTGTAAGGTTGAGTTAAGACTTGATTGGGATTGAATTTCTTTTAAGGATGAGTTAGTCTCAAAGTTCTGATATAAGTGTTGTTTTAATGCCTTGATGCCTTCAGAGTCATCACCTGTAATCACAATGTCATCTGCATAATCCACTAGATAGATATATTTGTTTGATGAGGAGCATTTGGTAAGAACAGAGTCATCTGCTTCACAACAGATCATCCCTAATTGTTGCAATACTTTGCTAAATCTTCCAAACCATGTTTGAGGCGATTGTTTCAAGCCATATAAAGATATATGCATTTGCATACTAGGTTACACTCCCAAGAGGTTGCTCCATGTAATTCTCCTTCTCCAAGTCACCATACTCTAATAAAGTATGTTTAGTTCAATATAAAGGTGCTCCTTTTAAAGCAGAGAGTACATAAAAACGCTCCACTAATTAAGATGTGATTTCAGGAGTTAAAATAAAAACACAATAAAGAGAGAATCAAATACTTTCGAGGCTAATAATGATTAATTATTTGAACATGTATTTTTCATGATCACCTTATACAACAAACTGAGTCATATGACTTGTAGATAACCTGTGTGTTGATAATTTGTTTTAAGTGGTCGTCCATCTATACTAGTGCTGTTTTTTTTTAATTTTTAAATTTTTTTTTTTTAATTTGCAGTTTTTTTTTGTATCTCATAGTTATGTGACTTATTTTTTCAGCCTGGAATCTTTAAAATTTCTGATGAAGACCGGTTGCATTCCTTCAGCGAGTCATATAAATTGGGTATCAATTTAATCGAAGGTAATAATAAGTTCTGGTCATAATCTGAACTCGTGTCTAGGCATTGCTTATGATTTTATATTATATTTTCTAATTCTAAATATTTTTCGTCCGCTCAGGTGTCCATTCTCCAAATTTGGCCAGTTTAGATGCTAAACTTGTTCCAGAGCACTTGCTTTATCTCTCTATTGACTGCGGAAGGAAGTTTCTTTCGTCATCCAAATCTGCAAATAGATACAATTTTTACAAGGTGTTTCCCAGTTCTGTTTTTATATTTGGAGCCTTGGATTTTTTCCTCTTCATTTTATTTAAGGTTGCATTATGACCTGTTTATCTTTTTGTTCTTTTTGGAACAAGGATTCAAATGCTCACGAGATTGAACGAATGTTGAAAGTACTTGCACCCCTAAGACAGCAGATTCTGTCCAATCTAAATGAGTGGGAAGAACAGAATGATCTTCAAAATTTTTTGGTTGTCATTGACATGCTCCTGACTCTTCCATCTGATATCCCTCTAGCAAAGGTAATAATCCGTTACTGACTAGACTCCCATCTCTTACAAAACTTGATTTCCTATGTAGAGATTAATAGAATTGGAAAGTTGCCACATACTCATATACTCATATGCCCTACCACAATTTTCCGCTCAACACATATATGTGCTGATAAGAATTGAAAGCAAAATAATTTCATCCAGGTCTAGTCTTCATCTATTCTTTCCTCTTCAGGCTTTTTCAGGCTTGCAGTTTTTACTTCACAAGGCTCAAGTTATGCAAGAAAATCATTCAAAGTTCTCCTTCGCAAGTATGCACACTTTCCTTTAACTAATGTATCTGCAATTGTCTACTTTGTGTTCTTACCAATTTTTCTGGTTTTCATCATCTGCAGATCAGTTGAGATCTGTTTTTGATCTGATGTCATCATGGCAAAAGATAGAACTGGGTTCTTGGCCCGCGTTGCTTGATGAGGTGACGGATCAGTATGAAAACAATGCTAAAAAAGTAAGTGGCATGTCACTTCATTTTGTAATAATTTGTTATGTCTGTATCGTAGGATCCCACAATGGTTTGTCGCCTGAAAGCTTTTATAGTGCTAGGTCACTTTTTTCTCTCTCTTAGTATTTGTATTTTGAAATGATAGTCTATAAAAAGAACCAAAAACACACTAGTGATGTCCCTCCTAGGTGGATTGGCCATATAAACCGATAGGCTCAATAAAACCTTGTCCTGGTCATACCTAATGGTAAACCATTCAACTCCAAATCTCTGAAATGATTGCACCTATACCTATTATTAATTAATGAAAACAGGAGAATGGGTTTTATGGTTAATAATAAATTAATAATCACGAATCTAGTACCTTAGGGGTTAAATTTTAATATTTGACTTACCACTCTAGGGCAGAAAATTATCATTAGCTTCTTTTTCTAGTCATATTAAAATAATGATGCATAAAGTTCTCTGTACTTCAGAACCAGGGGAAGTTGTTGATCTAGATTATCAATAGCTTATTTCTTTTTGTCTCACTCTTGCTGCAGTTGTGGTTTCCTCTGTACTCTCTTCTTCCATCCACTACTTCTGGTCAATCAATTGTCGAAAGGTAAGTTATATAACTAAGACTCAGCCTACTATTTGTTGTTTCATCTCTTAGATTTTGTTGCTTGTTTTCTAGAGTAACTTTTATTTTCATATGAATCTTGTAGCCTGAAAGATTTCATTGAGTTGTCTAGCATTGGGGAATTCAGAAAACGTCTTCAGCTTCTTTATGCTTTTCTTGGTCAAAATCATATCAGTGCATCCCTAAAAATTAATTCCAGGTATATTTATAGTTCTACAAGTTATGTTTTCTTCTATATAAAAACAATGAAAGCGCTTATGGATGCCAGTAAATAGTTTAGTCCATTATGTTTTGCCCATCCCCTTATCCAGAAAACATATATTTTTTTTTCAAAATCTCCCGGCACATCATATTTTGCTGCAAGTGTTTAGTATTTTGTTGTGAAATTACTTTTATTCGCAAATATAATAGTGTTTTTTCTTCATTACTGAACACTGCAGTCCTTGTCGGATGCCATCATTCTTGTACAATACTTTTGGATATTACGTGCAGTTCTTACCAAAGTGAGTTCCTTTTGGTTGTTGTTTGTCCGATTTCTTTTCTTTTATTTATTTTTTCATTGGGCTCATTATGCGTCTACATAATTATGCAACTGTGCAGTATATCGAAGTACATTGATGCTAGCAGGAAAGAAATTTTAATTGAACTGAAAGAATTGGTGAAACTATGTCGATGGGAGGATGATAAGAGTTATGCATCAATTGAAAAATTGAAAAAGTGTCGGCAAAAGCTGAAAAAGCTTATACAGAAGTATACCGTAAGCATCAAGCTGTTTATTGGGTTATGTAAATAACATATGTTATATTTGTTAGAATGATGATTGGTTTTTTTCACCACATTTCACTGTTCCTTCCCTGGGCTTAGTTTTTTATGTGAACTATTGGCCTCTTTTCTGAATTCAATGCGTTCCAAGAACTTTGAATTGACTTTCATGTTTGCGATCTAGTACATCGTTCAAGTATTCAGTATGTATTTTTCATGTTAGAACTCTGTTTAGATATGTTTTTATCTAGCTTTAGTGGCTTCATATTAGGTTTGGGTTTCCTCCCAATTTAATTTTTTTAATGAATTTTAATATTTTTAGATTTTAGGAGATGGTAAATAATTTTTTATTGGAGTAAAGGTAAACGAGTTTCTGATCTTTTCTTGTTGATCTCTAGCACAAGCCTCCTCTCAAGATACAGTTTTAACTAAATGAGCACAATAAGATAGGAAACATAATAGAGTTATACAGTCACGTTGGTTCAACAAGTACCTAGTTTATGCAGGATATGATAGCTTATCCTGTCTCATCTCTCTTATCCCGACCATTGAACGGGTCCATTCTACAAATATTGTGTGCCTTTTATATTTTATGCTATAAAATATCTAAGTATTTGATCTTTCTTGCAATTTTTTGAAACTTTACTACAAAGCATTTTAATATTTTTGTGTAACTGTATATATCAGTTTTTTTAAATACATATTAAAAGTGAAGTCTTTGTTGAATTTTGGATACCTAGCAGCATCCTTAATATTTATAAATCCATTATGAAATTGTTGAGCATTTTTGTCGTGATAGCAGTTCTTATATTATGGTGTTTTCATAATTTGTATTTTGAGTGATCATTATATTTTTTTTATATGGTGCTCTCTTCTTATTGGTGAAGGATATTCTGCAACAACCTTTTCGTGAAGTTTTAATTAAGGGCTCAATCAGTAATGCTACGGATTTGCCATTATTCAGTGATGAAAACAGGTTATCTTATCCGACAGCTCATGGACTTTTGTAATTTGATATTTTGTTTTCTTATTTTTAAGTTGAAATTGCTGGTGTAGGTCGATGTGGTTTGAAAACTGCAGCATGGCGCTGGACAATGCTTTTCAGAATTTGCAGCTTAAGAAAACATCAGCATTTAATGTTTTGTTTTTACAACAGAAAAATGTTGAAGGTTTTCCTTCTTGTTTTCTTGTCACTTTCTTTTTTGTATTTCTAGTCTTTTTTTGTCAGTTTTGTTTCTTATTGTAAAATACTGAGAAACTGGTATGTTGTGCAGAAGATGTAAGCATATTGAGATCTTGTTGTGATTCCCAGCATACACTTAACCTAGAAGGATGGAAAGATGCATGGCATATGGTTGAAAATCTTTATATTGAAGCAGTTGACTTCGGTAACATTTGGAAGGACGATAAAAGTAGTTATAGGAAGAGAAAAGCTTTTGATCATCTTCTCAACCTCTTCAGAGCTAGTGGGTTGACTTCACACAAGGTGGGTGAAGTTTAGCTGTTTCTTTTCATGATTGTCTAGATTACTTCTGTTTTTTCCTATGTTGTCAATAGCATGCTATAGCGGAGTAGCATAGGGTAGTAGAGTTTGTGCGACACTTTTGGCCCATGAGCCACCGTTAACAATTGCAGGTGTAGCGGCCGCTACTGCGGCCCCAAAGCGCTATGGCAGCCACTGTAGGGGTTTCGGAGCGAAATTCCTCAAAGCCTTTTTTCAAACCTTGTCTTTTTTAAGGGTATAAATGCTAATTCAGACCTTTTTAAGGGTAAAATTGTGTTCTTCATTTTGTTATGTTTACAAACAATTGTTACTTTCTTCCTACTTTTGGTGCGGTGATGTTTTTCTTTGTTTAAATTTTATGGTTTTGATTTTGGTTCTGTACCGCCATTGCATTTCAGGGGTCAGTGCTACACGCCGCTATCCGGCATTAACAACAACATAGTTTTTGTTATTATTATTATTTTTAAAATTTTTAATTTTCTTCCTATCTTTTTATTTAAAAAATACAGGATCAACATGAAGATTGGTGGTTCATTGAGCTTTCTGGAAAAATGGAGTGTCTACTTCTAGAAAACAGTAGGTTCACTAGTACATCCTTGGAAATTGATGCCAAACTCAAAGATAATGATGCCACTGAAGAAAGCTCCCTTATGGAGTGGAAGACTGCTATTGAGCATTACTTCAAGAGTGTTATGTCTGTGCGCCTTCTGAAGGAGATATGCATCAAGCCTCACGGTGATATAGATTCTCAACAGGTAAACATATTTTTTCTAAATATTATTGGTAGTATAACTGTACAAGGTCTCTGATTTGTTTCATATAAAATTTTAATGTCTTGATCAATAATTCTCTTTATTCTTTTACTTTAGTAGTTTCATTTTGGTTTTCGTCTTTTTCTTTCCCCTCTATTTTTCATTGTATCTCATCACCTTGCTCCTTTTCTTTGCATTGCAAAAGATTGGTTCTTATGTCTATTTAATTGCTTTTGTCACTATCTTTGTAGGATTGAATATGATATAACCCTCCTCTTTCTGTGTGCCTTATAAGTTTATTTTGTTGTCATGGATTTGGTAAATTGAATGTGAACTTGGTTCTCTTTAGGTTCATAGGTCCATTTCTTTCCTCAGTCAGCTTATTCAGATACAAAAGAAGCAACTTGCTGCTGCCAGTGCATTTGGCGAGAAATTGAAACACTTCAGAGAATGTGCATCTACTATGGGAAAGTTGTTTTCATTTTGCTCTCCCACTGATAACAGTACAAACTTTATGTGCTCTATTGTTCCGAATCAGTTTGCCACTTACAAATGCCTGTGGCAACAGAAGGTAAAATTGTGATGACGATTTTATTTAGATGCTTGTATTTGCTACAGTATTTTTGGCATCTCATATTAATTGTATTTATCTATTTGATATACTTTTATGCAGCAAATATTTGATAATCTGTGTGCTATATCAAATGGAGAATTGCTCTTACTAAGGATATTAGAAACTAGCCATTTAAACACTTGTCAAAAAACAAGCCCTTCAGTAAGAATGATGAGTGCTTCCATTGAAGAATTCTTACCAGTGTTCTGGAAATCAAAGGTACATAATGGTTTTTAGTTTCTTTAAATTTGCAATATTTACATATGGCCTTTTATTCATGGTAAACATAATCACAGGAATCATTGGATTGTTACCTAATTGGGGGGTCAAAAGCTGTCACTGCAATGGCTTCTTCACATTTTTCTGTTGTTACTCAAGAAATGCAGCAGCTGGTTTCTGAAAATTTCAAGGCCATAAAGGGTTTTAATGATCAGTTTGTTGTACGGCAAGAGCAGGGTACAGATAGAAAATCAGTTAAAAATGTTCTGGTTCATCATTTCCAAGAAGTAATCGACAAGGTATTTAACCATTGGATTTAACTATCTGAAGTCCAGTAATTTGAATGAGAAACCTGGGACTTACAATTATTATTTTTCCAGGCAAAATCAATTGAGGAAGAATATTCCACTGCAATAAAGGAAAATTCTAAAAATGTAGATCCATCTGAGAAGGATCGTTTTTGCGAAAGGCAGTGTGCGGAGCCTAATGCTAGGTTTGATGAAGCCCTTAAGTCCACATATATACACATTGCATCTGTGTTGCAAAATTTATGTGTGCCAATGGATGAAGAGTCAATGGATGAAGAGTTAGAAATTAACATTGGTGAATGTAAATTACACCCATTTGTCTCAAATCTCAAGTTGGAAATGCTGTGTGATGATCTTTTTAAAATAATCACTTTTGGAGTAAGTTTTGTTTAGTTGCAGGTTATTTTAATTCTTTCTTGCTGGTGACTAAAATACTATGGTTGCTTGTAGGAAAAGCTGGTGAATTGTTGTGACGATAAAATTAGCAGTTATTCTTGCAAAGTAGGAGCCCATTTCCAAAATCTACATATGCTCATTGGCCTATTACTGGAATTCAGCGACGAGCTCTTGAAAAATTTCTTTGCTTTGCACAGATCAGTAAGCTTAATGCTCATTCACCCCTTTCTGCGGATCAGCATATTTTTCTCTCTGATAGCATGATATATGTTATGGAATTGGCATATTTTATAACATTTTTAAAGTTCTATCAATTGTCAGTATCTCATTATCGTTTGAGTCGGATAATCTAATTTTGTATATTGATTTGCAGGTATCAGTAACAACTCACGTGATTGCAAATATTTTAGTTTCTGTATTTTCAAAAGGTTTTGGAACACCAGCAGAAAACGAGGACGATGGAACCCTCAATACGTCTGAAGATGCAAGTGGGACTGGCATGGGGGAAGGTGTTGGATTGAATGATGTCAGTGATCAAATTACTGATGAAGACCAGCTACTGGGAACACGTGAACAGGTTAGTTTATGAGTCTTATATTTTTGCGTGTTTTTACAAAAAAATTCTCTCAAATTTAGATTCTCAAGCTATGTATCATGTTCTTTTGTCAATGCTGCAGCAAAAGGAAAAACAAGACGACTCCAAGGAAGTGCCAGACAACAATAATACTGGCATTGAGATGGATCAGGATTTTCAGGCTGATGCAGTAAGTCTTAGTGAAGAGTCTGAAGAAAATGAAGATTCAGATGGTGAGAATGAGGAACCTGAGTCCGAAATGGGTCCCACAGGACCTGATGGTGAAGCAGTTGGAGAGAAAATTTGGGATCAGAATGAAGATGAGACTCCCAATGATACAAGAGAGAAGTATGAATCTGGACCTTCAGTTAAGGATAAAGACGAAAGCAACAAAGAGTTAAGAGCCAAGGATGACTCTGCCATCAATGAATCTGATAATGCTAGTTGTGATGAAGGTGATGCTCAGAATGATGAAGCTGCAACCCAGGAAGAGTATGAAGATGAAGAAAATACAGACAAGGTAAATATGGACAAAGAAGAAGCATATTCTGATGCTACTGGATTGAAGCCAGATGAACCGGATCACCCTTCCGACTTGGATATGGATTTAGATGCAAATGAAGATTTGGATCCTGTTGAAGAGGGAGATCCGGAAGGGCATGATGATTCAGCTGAGAATGAGAACCAGGACAGTGATAAATGCTCACCTGATGAAATTATGGAAGAAGCATGTACTGAAGTTGATGTATCCTCTGAAAAAGATGATCCAGGTCAGGAACATCAGGAAAATGGTGATATGAATTCCATGGAACCAGAGAAAGAAACATCTGAATCTTCTGATGTGGTTAATGATCAAGTTTCCACTGTTGGCTTAGCATCACAGTCCAAAGGTGATTTGCAGGCATCTGGTTCCCAAAATATACCATCAGAGTTAAATTTGTCAAATAGCCATCATGACTTTGACAACCCTGCTCTCACGGGAGGCTTTCCTTCTAGTGATAGGTCTGAGATGGACCTTACGATGACAGACTCATCAAATACTGGGGGAATTAGTAAAACTCAAGCTAAATCACATCTTCCAGAGCCTGAGCATACATTTTCTCAAGAAAAACAAACTAACCCTTCCCGAAGTACAGGTGATGCGCTTGATTTCAGGAAAGAAAGAATAAATATATCTGGTGATGTCCCTGAGGATAACTTAGAGAATCACGGTGAAATGGATGATGATAATGCAGATGAGTATGGATACGTTTCTGAATTTGAAAAGGGGACAACTCAGGCTTTGGGACCTGCAACGTTGGAACAGGTTGATAGAAACATTGATAGTGATAAGCTTGATACAGAATGTCGTGCCGGAGATGATGCAAATTTGCAGTTTGAAAAGGAAAAATCAGAAATAGATTCTGCAAGTAATTCTTCTTTACTCCCCAGAAATGAAAAAAGGGATCAAGTGAATATGTCAGCCATAGAGAACTCTCAAGAGGATGGATCAGGAAAACCTGTTAGTGAGAATATTGATCCTGAAAGGCGTAGGGAAGACGAAGTTTCTTTCAGCAGATCATACTTGAATGAAAACACACCTAAAATAAGTCAACTTTCTGTGCATGATGAGGAAATGGGACAATACCATGAACCTTGTGAGGCTCCTGATCATGTGAAAGATAATGCTAATGCCCTATGGAGAAGATATGAACTTAGCACTACAAAGTTGTCTCAGGAACTGGCCGAGCAATTGCGTCTTGTATTGGAACCCACAGTGGCCAGCAAGCTCCAAGGGGATTATAAAACCGGCAAAAGGATAAATATGAAAAAGGTAATTGATGTGTTCTTATTAATATGTATGAGCCTTATAATAAAATAGTATGAATCTGTTGATGAAACATTGGTGCTTATCTCTTCCTTTACCTTTAAAATAATGCCAGGTTATACAATACATAGCCAGTTATTATCGTAAGGATAAAATATGGCTTAGGCGGACCAGACCCAACAAACGTGATTACCAAGTTGTGATTGCTGTTGATGATTCACATAGCATGTCAGAGACCTGCTGTGGTGATGTTGCAGTTGAAGCTTTGGTTACAGTATGCCGCGCTGTTTCTCAACTCGAAATGGGGAGCTTGGCCGTTGCAAGCTTCGGAACAAAAGGAAACATAAATTTGCTACATGATTTTGATATGCCATTCACCGGAGAGGCTGGGGTTAAGGTTAGCAGGATTAGCGTAGAACTAGTTTCTTTTTTTCTTTTTTGACATTAGTATTTGTACATTTGTTTAATCTGTTGAAAGGATCTGATTGTTTGCTTTTGACTGATGAACAGATGATTTCCAACTTGACATTCAAGCAAGAGAATACTATAGCTGATGAGCCAGTTGTGGATCTGTTGAAGTTTTTGACCAACAAGCTAGACGCCGCAGTTGTAAAAGCACGACTTCCATCTGGACGTAACCCCCTACAGCAACTTGTTTTAATCATTGCAGATGGTCGTTTTCATGAAAAGGTACGTAATTAACAATCTGTCTGCCTCATTATATATATTCATAACAATAGCTCTCTTTGATTCAATTGTATCTTTTTTCAGGATAACTTAAAGCGGTGTGTTAGAAATGCATTAGCCAGTAACCGAATGGTTGCTTTCTTGCTTCTTGATAACTCTCAGGAGTCAATAATGGATCTCATGGTATTTATTTACCAGCACAAGTGATTTTTAAGATATGCAATTTTTCTTTTCTCTGACCTTCGACTTTCTGTACACCAGGAAGCATCCTTTGAAGGCGGGAAGATGAAATTTTCAAAGTACATGGACAACTTTCCCTTTCCCTATTATATTGTGTTGAGGAACATTGAAGCACTGCCCAGGACTCTTGCAAACCTACTGAGACAGGTAAGTTTGAGTTCTCCTTTAAGACACATAGAAAGAAAAAGTGGAATAGAAGATATTACTATTACTAAAACAGTGTTTTATTTTGTTGTGTTATTTCAGTGGTTGGAGCTTATGCAGCATTCAAATTATTGACTGGTCAGACTCATTGAAGATGTTCAAAATCCATTTTTGGTTTCAAGAATGCAAATACAACCTGCTTTATATTGAAGAGGGATTAGAAAATGTCATTGGGGGTACTTGGGTCTGAATTTTGTATATAAAAGATACATGAAATTCAGTGTACTGATTCTACTTCTTTGATTAAAAATATCAGTTGTTGCATTCGAAGAAACATGCTATGAAATGATTTTGAACCATCTTTGATTCTGACATGATATAAAGTTAAGATGCCAATAAAATTCAAGTTTACCTAAATTAACACGAGTAATATTTTTTTTGGTGACCAGTACCAACTCCCAAACCAGTCGTCAAAATAAGCCTTAGCTTCATCAGAAAAGACACCACAAGATGAAGAATTACCTTCTCCAGAAGCATTGCTTTTCTTCTTTTTCTTTGGTTCCACAAATCGGTCTTCATAAATCTTCTTGCCAGATTTCTCCAGATAGTAGTAAACACCATCTTTGTCAGGATAATACGTCACTATGGAAACTACAAATTCTCCCAATATTTTTGGAGCTTCTAACAGATAACCTCTTCAAACACCATTCAGTTCCAAAATGTATTGAATAGAAGAAGTAAAGAACAAGGACCTCTTTGGGTGTTCTTTGCAGTGAAGCATCCTTATAATCTCTCTGCTCTAATTACGTGGTTTCTGTAAAATACCTTGACCACAATCCATTGAAGAATACTCGCATCAATATAATGCTAATTTGAAAATTTGCCATGTCAAGCCGGTTTCCAAAAACAGATTTAGAAATTGTCTGCACATATGCTATACGATCATACTCAGATGATTTTGCAATAGACACATTCATACTAGAAGACTTCAAATTGTTAGAATTGATTTAGATTTAATTAGATATTAATTTATATTTAAGAATACTTTTAGATTGTTTATATCTTTGTTAGAGGATATATATCTTAGATCTTTTTATATCTTTGTAGAAGATATATTTTAGATTTAATTTGTGTGTATAAATAGCCTAATGGAGTAGATTATTGTAATTCATTGTAAATCCTTATTTGAAGTTATCAGTAAATATTCCTTTTGCCTTTTATCTTCCTTGTGTTTCAACAATTGGTATCTAGAGCTCCTGGTTAGAAACTCTGAAATTTGGGAAATATTGTTTTCATTGAGTTTCTGCGTAAATTGCACAAGGTAGAAGATGAACGGAAACGACGATATTCATTCCAAGCTTCTAGTATTTGATGGTAAAAACTGGAATCGTTGGAAGATCCAAATGCGCGTGTTATTTGATTCTCAAGATGTGTTAGAACTTGTTACTGATGACTATAATCTGTTAGAAGCAGATGCAACGGAGGACCAGAAGATAGCACAGAAGGTGCTGAGGAAGAAAGATCAGAAAGCATTGTTCTACATCCATCAATGTGTGGATGTGAATGTGTTTGAGAAGATTGCTGATTCTGAAACAGCAAAGGTTGCGTGGGACAAACTGGTCAGATGTTACGGTGGTGACGCATAAGTGAATAAGGTAAAGGTTGCGTAGGACACACTGGTCAGATGTTACGGTGGTGACGCATCAGTGAATAAGGTGAAGCTTCAGTCTCTCAGAAAGCAATATGAGAATCTCAACATGAAGGACAACGAGAAGGTTTCTGAATACATCTCTAGAGTGATTCTGATCACTAATGAGATGAAAGCTTGTGGAGAAACTCTATCTGAACAAAAAATTATTGAGAAGATCTTGAGATCTTTAACTTCTCAGTTTGATTACATTGTTGTAGCAATTGAACATTTCAAAGATCTGAGCACCATGAGAGTTGAAGAGTTGCAAAGTAGTCTTGAGGCGCATGAGTTGCGTATGACTGCAAGAACTTCTGAGAGGGAAGTAGAGCAACATGCTCTGAAAGTAACTTCTGGTAAGAAGCATCAGAAGCAGACTTGGTCAGAAGTCAGGAAGAAAACTAATGGTGGTCAAAAGTCAGAAACTTCAAACTCTGATAGGCAGAAGAATGTTCAGTGTTACTGTTGCAGGAACTTTGATCATTATGCCAAAGATTGCTGGTCAAACAAAGAAAGGAAGTCAGAAGAAGCAAATGTAGCTAGAGGAGATTCAAATGATGAACCTGTGCTATTTATGGCTTATGAATCTGATGAGGAATCAGTGGAATTGTCCTTTTCTGATTCTGAAGGGGAAAAAGAATATGACTCTGAATATTCTGATTTTGAAGGAGTGATTTTGTATGAGTCAGAATCAGAATATGACTCTGAGTCAGAATTTGAAGATGACGCTGAAGATTTTGAAGATGAGTCAGAATCTGAGGTTTTTGAAGACGAGTTAGAGTTAGAAGATGACTCTGAAGCTGAAGACAAGTCAGAATTCGAAGGTGATTCTGAGTCTGAAGAAGATTATGCTTCTGAAGAAGAGTCAGAAGATGATGACTCTGGAAACTCTGAAGGTGAGTCAGATGGTGAATCTGATTTTGATTTTGATGATGATCCAGAATTTGGTGGTGATCATGCTTATGAAAGGAAAACTCTAAAGACGTAGGTTCTGGAGGATAAACTTCTAAAGATGATCAAGTTTTTGGTGGAAATCATGACTCTAAGGTTGGACCTTCTGAAGGAAATTCAGCCTTTGGCGATGATCATGATTCTGAAAGTGGAATTTCTGAAGGCAGAGGTGATCCAACTTTTGAAGATGGTATTTATGAAGGTAGTGACTCTGACTCTGAAGAAGATACAGAAGGAGAAGATGATTCTGACTTTGACTCTGATGGTGATCCAGACTCTGAAGACAGTCAAGGTTCTGGAGAAAGTCCAATTTCTAAAGCAAGTGCTTCTGAAAGGGAAAGTTCTGGAGAAAGTCCAATTGCTGAAGCAAGTGCTTCTGAAGGGGAAAGTTCTGGTGTTCAAAGTTCTGAAGGTCCAGTTCAGAGGCAACAAAGAGTCAGAAGCATCCCAAGAAGATTTGCAGAGTTTGACATGTTGCTAGACACTGAAGTAAATTCTGAAAGAGAAGTTATTCAGTGTGCAATGTTAGTAGACTCTGAACCCGTAAGTACGAAAAAGTCTCTTAAGCACCAAGTTTGGTTACAGGCCATGAAAGAAGAACTTAATGCTATAGAGAGAAACAAGACTTGGAAGCTGACAGAACTTCCAAAAGGCAAGAAAGCCATCAGCGTCAGATGGGTTTTCAAGCAGAAGCTAAAGCCAGATGGATCAATTGGAAAACACAAAGCGAGATTAGTAGCAAGAGGCTTCCTACAGAAGCCTGGGCTGGATTACTTTGAAGTGTTTGCACCTGTAGCGAGACATGAAACAATCAGACTAGTGATTGCAATAGCTGCTAACAGGAATTGGCCTCTGATGCATTTAGATGTAAAATCTGCATTTCTGAATGGTCCATTACAAGAAGAGGTGTACGTTTCACAACCTCCTGGATTTGAGAAAAAGAATCAAGAAGGGATGGTGTTCAAATTACACAAAGCATTGTATGGATTGAAGCAAGCGCCCAGAGCTTGGAATTCGAAGATTGATTCATTTTTTAAGGAACAAGGGTTTCAAAGTGTGAGATGGAGTATGGTGTTTATGTTCAGCATACTTCAGAAGTTAATATGATTCTGGTCTATTTGTACGTTGATGACATACTACTTACAGGAAGTTTTGAACAAGAGATAGTTGAGTTCAAGAATGTTCTGACAAAGGCTATTAAAACTGATCAATTTCTTGGATTAAGGGATGGAATTGGCGTTGACAGTTTTGGATAAATATAAATTAAGGGATGGTGTTAGAATTAATTTAGATTTAATTAGATATTGATTTATATTTAGGAATATCTTTTAGATTGTTTATATCTTTGTTAGAAGATATATATCTTAGATCTTCTTATATCTTTGTAGAAGATATATTTTAGATTTAATTTGTGTGTATAAATAGCCTAATTGAGTAGGTTATTGTAATTCATTGTAAATCCGTATTTTGAAGCTATTAGTAAATATTCATTTTGCCTTTTATCTTCCTTGTGCTCCAACACAAATCAAAGTGAGCAGTAAAATCGAAGTAATCAAATTTAATTACACGGTCCTTAAATTTACTATCTAAACCAACATCGGTCAATTTAGGATCAGTTTATTCTGGCTTTTTTTTAAATGATTTTAGTAGTGTTATATAATTGTGTAAAAAAAACTTAAAAAGAATTTTTTTATAAAAACTTCAAATGATATTTTTTTTAATAATTATTCTTAAAATGTTATTTAAGATATTCTATCTTTTTATTGAAACTTTTTCTAGATATCAAAATTTTAAAAAATTATTTAATTTTGAAGTTATTTGTGTTAGAAACGTAGTAACAGTAGAAAGGAAGAAGAAAGAGAAAGAAAGGAAGAGAGAGAAAGTAGATATGAAATTATAACCGAATTGTATATTACAATAGAGGACAAAACTGAGTTATATACTCAGCACAATGATATTACAATTTTACCCTTTCTACTATTGAAGTATATATTCTAATAACTTCCCTAAAACCCTAGGTCACCCCTGATCCAGAGTTATCATGTCCCGGACCTGCAACTTGCTTCTTAGTTGCAGGAACTTGAGAGATGATAGGGGCTTGGTGAGTAAATCAGCATATTAATCAAACCCAGGAATGTGCTCGACTATCAAGCTCTTGTTCAACACTTTTTCCCGTAAGAAAAAGATGTCTAATTCCATATGCTTGGTCCTAGCATGTAGAATAGGATTGTGTGACAATGACACAGTGCTGAGATTGTCACACAATAGGATAAGTGTAGTAAATGGCATCTTGAGCTCAGTAAACAGTGACTGTATCCACAACACTTCTGCAGCAGAGTTAACAAGGCTCCTGTACTCTGCCTCTGTACTAGACCTTGCAACTAAGGTCTATTTCTTGGACCACCAAGAAACAAGATTAGGTCTAAGAAAAATGCAGGAACCTGAGGTGGATTTCCTATCATCAGGATCTGCTCCCCAGTCAGCATCAGAAAATGCT